TGAGTCTGTTGTTCTTTTTCAAAAAATAAATTAATATTTTAGTCTCTTTAGTTTCTATTGAGATTTTTTGTCTACAAAATTTGCAATATATGTTTTTTTTGTGTTTAATTGAATAAAAATATAATACATTTTATCTGAGGTAACATGAAGAAATTATTATATTATATTGAAGAAAAATACTTATAATACATGTATTGGATGTTACTAATATTGTTTTCAATGATATAACTATTAAAAATTATTAAATTAAAATAAAAGTTAACAAAGTAAAGATAAAAATAATAATAAAAATATTGAAATTGTAGATGAAGAATTAAAAAATTAAAATTAAATATTGAAAAAAATAGGTGTAAAGAATATTATATTCTAGAAAAATGTTTATTTTATAATAAATTTTGATAAATTTATGTAGTTTTTCTTGATTTTTGTCATGTTTTTAAGAATTACTGTAGATAAGATTTTCGTTTCCAAGTGATTTTCAGGTCAAAAGAAAAAGTCTTTAAATTTAATTGATTAATTTATTAGGAGGAATTTGACTCATTTTTAAATCTCAAAATTTGAATTTATAGGATTGAAGTGTGTGGAGACTTTTTTTTCTTTTTTGACTAAATTTTATTTCTACAATGGTTTAAAATATAATTTATTATTAAGTTATAATTAGCATAAAATATTTGAATATTTTTAATGATTTCACTTTCACTTAAGAAATCTTTGTGAATCTACACGGCAATTAAGGAATTTCCAAATATGAATGATTTTAACAAGCACAAGGAAAGAATCGTACATGTTTTGTTTTTATCAAACAAAATGGCATTCTATAAAGTCAAAATTATTTCTCAACAAATTTCTCTGATTTCCTTCTTAATACTCTCTCACTTGAAACATAAAATTTGGAAAAATAAAAGTTAAATTAATTTTGATTCATTGTGTTATTTGATTATGCATTATTACGTTATTTTATTATTGCAAGTTAAACCCCGTTACCCAATAATAAAAATAAAATCACACTTAAATTGAAAAAAAAAAGTAAACAAAATATGCCTATTTATGATTTTAAAAGAAAATAAATAATAAATTTATATTGTATAATGGTCCGAAAAAAAAATATTCGTGGGAAAACATAGCATTATTTTATTTCTTATTTTATGTGATGTTCCTAATTAAAGAGATTCGTAATTGTAATGGCAAAAATGTGATATTGAATAAAGAAGAAGAAGAAGAAGAAGAAATGGTAATGGTGGTGGATGAATTTGGAAAATTTCTTTAAAATGATAGTGATGTTCAAAACGTAGACGTTTTTGGACATTTCTAAAGAGATAATAGGAAGAAAAAATTAAAAATAAAATATTTTATTATAAACTTTATATATCAATAGTTTAAAAATGTGTAAAGTTAATTATATAAATAATTTTTTTTAATTTCAATTTTAAATAATTCATGTACATATAAATCTAGAATGAAATATTATTTTTATTCTTAAAATTCCTTTAAATTTATGTCGTTATTTTCCTTTCCACTATATATGTCCATCGATTGTGTTTCTGACTTTGAAAGAACATGATAATAGTTGCTTCTAGAAAAGCTTGCAAAACTTACAACGTTTGTAATATTTGTTTGAAATTAAGATATTATATTTAACAAATTTATCATTAAATTATTTCATGTGATATTCTTATATAAAATACACTTATTTGTATGAATTATATTGTTTAACTATTTTTTTTAAAATAGAATATGCATTTTTCAAGTTGAGAACAATAAAATTTTGTTTTCAATAAGAACAAAAGGCAAGTGACTTATTTCTAACAAATAAACAAATTTCATTTTTTTTCTTAAATTGTAATTACTTACATTTTCCTTAGCTTATATTATATCCTTAATATTCTCTTGATAATATATTTTTAAAATTATAAATTATTTTAATTTCATAATTTATATGATTGTATAGTATTATTATATTATGCATTAGAATGGCGTGGGAAGTGGGTTTCACTATCATGGTCAATGTGATGCGCGCAATAACATGCGAGTCAAAATCATTAATCAACCAAAACAAAGAGTAATGTTAATAGGCCACCAAGTTATCATCATAAATCTTGGTTTGTTGAAATTTTTCAAAGGAAACACTTTTGATCAATTAAAATTTCAAAATGAATAATATTTTATATCTCATTAAGTTCATATATTTTTTTTATTAGTAGGCTAAGAATTTCACTAAATTAAATTATTTATATTAGTGACATATTTTCATCATTAATTTTTGGAGAAATTAGATAATATATTATTAATAAATAATAAATAAATATAAAAGATAAAAAAGTAAGATAATAAAATTGTAAATATATAAATAAATATATTAAATAATCATAAAAAAGAGATCTGAAAGTATAAAATTATAAATATATAAGTAAATATATTAAATAATCATTAGAATCAAAATTATAAATTACATAAGAGTTACAAAACTCTCCCATCAATTTCTAAGAAAATCCGTCACTAATTTATATTGAATTTATCTAAATATAAACCATTAATTTAAAAATTGTAATATAATATGTAGTTTATATTAATTAATTAGAAATGATAAAATTTCTAACCGTCTATTTTATAAAGTAAGTATCTTAAAATATAATTAGTTACACTAATCTATCTATCTATATATATATATATATATATATATATATATATATATATATATATATATATAAACTTTTCTATTTCCTTCTATTACATTATTTATTTCATAAATACTTTTTCTATAATAAAGTGGTTCAATCTCATTACAATTATACTAATAAAAATTTAATTGAAATGATAATAAAAGGTTGATTTATTAGAATATACAGTAAAACATTAATTAATAAATCATTTACAATGATAATTTATGTAGTGAAAAACAACAATTTTATAGGTGAAATGATGTGTGTGGGTAAAAATTAATTGAAGCATAACCTAGCAATTGATTATACAATACTTATAGCTGATGCTAACTTATGTAATTAATTAATTACATATCCTAGATTTTGAATGAGAAAAAAAAAATAAAAAATTTCTCCAGCTAATGCCATCTTACAGTGTATGTATGGAAGTGACTCCTGCACCCTCTCCTACACTTTTTTTTTTTTAATCACTTTATCTTTGGGAAGGTTAAAAAAGTATACATAAATTATAATAAATTTATTTCAACATTTTTTTTATATATTTTTTTTCATACATAAATAAATATTTATAATTTTACAACTTTTAAATTATGATTATTTATATTTTAATTTATTATATTTATATTAAAATATATATCCAAAAAAATATTTGATATTTTTTTCCTTTGATATATATATATATATATATATATATGAAATACTCATAATAATAATAATAATAATAATAATAATAATAATAATAATAATAATAATATTATTATTATTATTATTATATACTATAATATTAAGCCTTTAAGTAAATGTATAGTTAATAATTGGATTTGTAATATTAATAAATATAATATAATTTTATAAGAAAATATTTAACAAAATAATTTTTACAAAATTAATATAAAATAATAAAAATTTTAATTATTAATTCTTTAAAATGGTGAATCATTCAAAATATAACTATTTTATTGTCACAAACTTTGACATATGAAGAATAATAAAATTTAAAAAATATCACTTAACATAATTTAATAAAGACAAATTAAAAATAAAATAAGATATTACTAATTAAAAATAAAATAACACTATATATTATTAAGATGGATACACAATATTAAAAAAAAAAATAAACAAAAATTTAACTTGCGTCTCTCAAATGAAGAAGTTAAGGAAATGTAAATAATAAAAGTTAAAAGAAATATAAGAGTAGATTGAAATGATTGAAAAAGGAGAAAAGTGATGAGTGTAAAAATAGAGAAAAAATTATATTTGTGTAGAATGTGAAAAAAAAAATAGATAAGAGAATATAATAGTTTAGAGTTTAAATTTAAATATAAAATTGAATACGACAGGATAACATGTCGATAAGTACAAAGGATGAGTATATCCTCCTTTGATCTCTTTAATTAAAAAAAAAAAAAAACTAAATCACAACTTATATCTAATCAATTGGATTTGTCCTTATTAATGTCGGTGTTGTAATTTTGGATTTAATTAACATCTTGTGTTGAATCTTCCTTTGACACCAAAAAAGAAATGGATGATTCAACCAAAATTCATTCACTTCATGAATGATGGTTGATCTATACATGACAATAATAGTACATAGATCAATAATAATAATAAATAAATAAATATACCGAATAAGATAAAAAAAAAGTACATAATTGATGTGAACATGACTTATGATAAGAACTAGAATAAGAGAAACAAATAAAACTTTTTAATAAGTATTGTTGGTTGACCAAATTGTGTTTTAGATTAATCAATTAATGAACTTTAATTTAATTTTATTGCAAGTTGTAATAAGGGTCCAATTAAAAATTTAGTTATCAGTCTTTGAGAGACCAAACTGATGTATAACTGATTGACTTTTGGTTGTTATAATTTCAGTTACAATCAGTCATTAAGTAATATCAATTCCTAGGTTAATAAATCATTATTAGTCTTTATTTGTCTCTATTAAATAGTTTTAAATTCTTAGGTTAATGAATCATTATTACCATTTATTTTTTTTATTGAATCTTTGTAATTCTAATGACAAAACTTTCACGTAGGTAGAAATATTTTTATAAAAAATAAAAAGTAAAATTTTATTTAGAAATATTAGAGTTTATCTTTTTTATCTTAACGAGAGTGATTCTCCTAAATTCTTGAGTGGTTCAAAAACATTTAGACTGTATCAAAGGACTTTCACATACTTTGTGAGTTGCCTTCTTTAGAAAAAATGATTCTTTACTTCCACCTTATCATTAAATTCCCAAGTTTCTTATAAGGTTCTAACCCTAAATATTCTAAATCAGCCCTAGTTGATGTTCATATCAATAGTACATAAGGTTTAAAGGCTCTTCATTGACTTTGATCAAAGGGAAAGGGACGAATGAAGGCAGAGTTCAATTGCCAAATCTTTAAGGAGATCTTGATGTTTATATCAGTTGCATTGTTGAATAGAAATAATCTTGCAGCTCCATATATTGCTTCTGTTGGGTAAACTCTACTTGTGATCACAGTTCTCCCTCCTTGAGCAAAGCTCTCAATAATTGAGTGGTCAACCTGATCAGATTGGAAAGTTATTTGTAACAAAAACCTATATATTAATTGAAACAAACTAAACTTAGCTTCACCCCAAACTACAGATGAATATGCATTCACTAGATGAAAACTAAATTAAGAGAGAAAAATAATAATAATAAAAACTAAAAAAATGTACTGTGACCATCTACTCAAGTGATCAAGAAGTACAATCCACACTTACCAATACCCTCATTGATAATTTTTCACCACTAAGGATTGGAACTTTGCCACCATAAATTGGCTTTGCAACATCCGAAGCCTTGGATGATCTACATATCATATCAAATAACTCATTACCATATTTCTTCTTTAAAAAGAGAAAAATTGTATTACCAAGTGCAATTTCCTACCTTCTTTCATCAACACAGAAGAAAGTGGTAGTATTACCAAGAGTAGTATCAGAAAGCCGAAAATAAATTGGAGTTTGTTCAGAAAGCGAGTCATCTGCTATTGCTAGAAGACCAAATGGTCCAAAAGCACTTCTGTCTCTGGCACCAATCTTTCCACAATCTATTATGTTGTTCTTACCGATGTTTTTGGAGGCCAATGATTCAATCTCAAATTCAGCAAATATGTCCAACTATGAATATTTTTGGGAAAGGAAAATAGTTGTTCATCAGTACAATTATTGCGAGTGACAATGCAACAAAACCATTTGAGTAACCAACATAATTCTACCGACAAACCTGGGTTGCAAGGGTTATGTTTAGTGGCACAACAGAGCCAGGCTTAACCACCACTCCCTCAAATTCATCACTACTTAGTCTTAAGCTTTCTACTTCCTCTATTGGCCACAGAAGCAAACTAGTCCCAGTCTTGTCATCAAACAACACCGTTCTTGGAATTGTCTAACAGAACAAAAACAAATGTAGTTAAACTTAATTTTCACATAAAGTTATATAATCTCATCAACTAATAAACTCGATCATGAGAACATGTGTTTGTGTATCCCTAATTACTAAAATAAACAAAATTACTTAGGTTAAAAATAAACACATATAAACAATTCATGTTCAAGAAGCAAAACATACAATTAAAATTAACAAAAATTGATACCTGAAGAGAAGCCCAACCCTTTCTCAAGTCATCACTTTCTGTATCGGTTTCGTTAACCCAACCCCATAGAATTCTCCTCTCTTTTTCTTGATCATAGAAAGTCTTCGAAGCATAGTATCTCCCATAGTCCAAAAGCAACCCTATACCCACATCCTCAAGTGGGTTATCGGGTACCCACGTGTCATTTTCAGCAAAATAGGTACCAAGTGCATAACTATCTACCCTTGTGTCATCCATACTAGCCTTCAGCACGTGCTTAACATATGGCCCGTTAACTGATGTATCCAAACCCTTGGACCCGTTTATCGAAACTGGGTAAAAGTCCACACATTCCCACATACCCGTACCCGGAACTGCATGCAAGCAGTGATCATTTAGCTCAAAATTGATGAAATCAATGGTTTTGTAAACCAACGAAAGGCCTGTTTTTCCTTTCTTTGACCCAATTGCGACCCTCCATTTTCCATCCAGCCCGATCCAACCGGTGGTCGGGTCACGGAAGTTCTTCTGGTGGGTACCGGGTGGGGGCACTATGATCGGGTTGCCCACATACTTGACCCAATCAAGAAGAAGTGGATCAGATAGATTTGTAGGGTATGCAAGGTTTTGCACCTGCACAAAGTCATTGGTGTCACCCGTGTAAAGCATTAGGATTTTGCCATCTGGCAGAAGCGTGGCTGACCCAGTCCATACACCGTTGATATCATACCACTTGCTAGGGACCATGGCAATGGGTAGATAGAGCCAATGAATCATGTCCCTTGACACTGCATGCCCCCATGTGATGTTCCCCCACACTGCTGAATCAGGATTATATTGATAGAACAGATGGTACCATCCCATGTGATACAATGGACCTACAAACATAGGATACAATCCCAATTTAATCTTACATTTTTCTTTTTTTTGTCATCTTGCTCAATCGATTAAAAAAAATTAATATATAATATATTAATATAATTATTTGTAAAGGTTTATACACTTATTAAATATAATATTTTATACTAAATAATATGTCTAAATAAATTTAATATCAAACTAATCCTTAAACATTATATATTAACAACAAAAGTTTTTACACATTAATTCAGTTTTTTTTTACTAAAATGACCATTTATTTATAATTTTTATTATAACACAATGCTGCAGATAATAAATGCATCTAACTTCATTTAATTTAACCAACTAAACTAATATTCTTGAGGACCACTGTACTCATAGTATTGAGAATTAAGGTTGGATTTGAAAACTACGTTGTTTTGGACGTTGACCACGTGAACGTTGTCGTTGCAGTTGTAGGTACCTACATTTTATTTACGTGTTAATATTTCCTATAATAATACTCATATCTAAAATTCTTAAGCATATTTAATAATAATAATAATAATATTATTATTATTAATTTCTGTTCTCTATTATTATTTTTCATATTTTCTCTCTATAATGGAGTGAAAGAGTTACTAATTTCAATAGGTTTACTTTTAAATGAGCAAATATAGTGATTAAACACAAAAAAAAAAAAAAATTAAGAGAGCATCTTAACATTTTTTGTTAAATTACAAATATTATTGTTGATAAGGGGAGTGAAAAAAAATATATATTCTATTGTCCATAAACAATTTAGAACGTTATATTTTAAATTCTGTCATTAATTCATTTTTAATCATAAATAACTTTTTTTATATAGCCCGAGAAGGATGAATAATCGTGAATGTTAAGAATATAGTTATCATAAAATGACTAAACTATGTTTAGTTGGGTTTTTTGTAATATTTATATAGTTTTTTAGAAATTAAAGAATAATATAATATTTTTATTATATATATTAATTATTAGTTACTTTAAATAATTTAATCAAAATATTATGATATTTTTTCAAAATATTTCTCGAGAAATTAGATTTTTACTTCTGAATGAATTCAATTTTATGAGAAACATAACTAAAATAGTTTCTTGAATATACATTCCCTATAATATATATTATTTTTAAGAACATATATACATCAAACATAAGAAAATAATATTTTTTAATTTCAGATTTCCAAGAAAAAAATTCTCCTTGCCAAAAGTCAAGTTATATAAAAAAAATACGTGCTATCATTTTTTAATGATAGATTTTTTATTTATAAAAAATAATAAGAGAATAATCATAATTTATTTAATGATATGATTTTATGCTCTTTAATATAAAAAAAAAAAAGTCAAAAGTTTTGCTCAAAATCTTTAATAATTTATGTCACCTCACATTAGTCAATAAATATTTTTTTAATTATATTACGTAGGATAAGATCTCTTAATGAAATAATAATAATATCAATAATAGTTTGGATAAATTTCGTAAATATTATTAAATAATAAAATTAATGTTTTTTAAAATGAAAAATAATTTATTAAAATCATAACGTCAAAAACTGTGGATCTCACGCCATCACCAAATGAACAGTTATCTGTCAATTTCAATACTTTTATCTATTTGTGTTTTAAGAAAGTGTCACTATTATTACGAAAATAATTGAATATATATATATATATATATATATATATATATATATATATATTCTGTAAAGAGAATAAATATTTTTCTCTTTATAATATTTTATATTAATTTTGGATTATCTGGTAACTCTGAATCTGAGAAAGACACACGCCATTTCCAAATTAATGAGAATAATGGAATTATCTACTTTATATTAATAATAAGATTAAGCTTATAACACATTAAAGAAAAAAATAAAAAAATCTGATTCATTAATAAAAAAAAATTGTCATATTAATCAGTTCGGATAAACTTTATCAATCTAAACAATTAAGAAGCCAAATTAATTAAATTAAATAAATTTATATTTTAATTCCAATCCAAATAAAATTAAATTTTATTGGGTTTGTGATTTATTAATTCAATTAACATGAAACAAACTAATTAATGATACATTTTTATTATTATATATAAAGTTCATGATATAGTTATATAATTTTCTATTATTTAATTTATGCAAGTAATTATAATATAATTTTTGTTATTGTTTTAATGATAGAATTATGTGCAAATTTTAATAAAAAGTATGCATTTATTTTTTGAAATCAAATTTTTATATATTTAGATTATATTATCTCAAATCCAATGTAAAGCCACTCTAGAAAAAAAAAAAAACCCTTACCTAATATACATGCATAAAAAATCACAAATATGTGATTAAGTATTACAATTAATTATTTTATCAAAGAAAAACTATTTAGTTTAGTTAATATGTAGAGAAGTGAAATCCAAAAAAATATAACAGAAAAGATGAAGAGAAAAAAAAATTGAAAAATGAACGTACCGTCAGGATCTGGAGGCAATTCAGGCGAACAGGAACACCGGTTGGTCAACCAGACATTGTTGAAGTAACAGAAACATTAAAAAGAAGAGAACAAAAGTTTGATTGAAAAAGTTAATGATGGACCAAGATCCCAACTACCATTTCGTGCAAGCAACTACTACAAAACATAGTTGTAAATTTGGCACGTGAAACAAATAAATACACACACTTACCATTCATCCAATTCTTCTGCGGTTGAAAATGAAAAGCTGTTCTTTGCCAAGAAAACATGGCGTTGGTCCAATTAAATGAAACTTTGTTGAAAAGGGTTGGATTGGACTTGGCTGAAACCCCTTGAGCCACCCCTCTAGGTAGTAACCCTTGTGTTGAGGAGATGTTAGAAAAAGGGTTGCCATTGTTGTCCAAATTTTGCAAGTGGTTTTGGCCCTTCATCATGATCAATGCCACCAATGACATCAGAAAAGCAATGGAACAAAGTATCACAAGAGATGGTTTTAGGCCATTGTTGTTCACTCTTGGTGGGTGATGGTGATTCAGCAGAGGGGTGTGTAGAAGACCATGATCAAGATGAGGGCTTGTGGTGTGAGAAAGATTGACCTCCATGTTGTGGTGGATATATAACTTTAGGGTTTGTGAGAAAGAAGATTTTATAAGGGGTTTTGAGGAGAGGAAAAATGGTAGATGGAGAGAAAATGGGTTGGATATTGGAACGGTGGTTCCAATAGGATTGGAAAAGAGGACAAGACCAAAAGTTAATGAAAATACATGTTTGGGATTGGAGAATATATACATAAAAAGGTTTAAGTCAAATAAGAGAACAGAAAGTGAACACTTTATTTTTATTGTTTTATTTTTTTACACATTTTAACTAGATTTAATTAAGTAATGGATATTTCTTAACATATTGATTTCATGAAAAGTAAATTCTAACAAATATATTCCATTTTTTTTTCAATTAACTATATTTGTATAAACCATGCTATATCCAGCAAATGTTTAATTCATTTGTATACTTTTTTATTCAATAAGTTTTATATATTTTTATAACTTATATTATTTAAGAAATGAGAAAAAAATGATGTTGGGGGTAATTAAATGTTACTATTTGTTCTAGCTTTTTTTTTTTTTCATTTATTATGAACTTTCTATTCTATACAGATACAAATAATATGAAAAACATATTTTGTATACGGTCATATTTTTATTTTTAAAAAAATCAAACAAAATATTCAAATAAAATAAGTTCAGATTTGATTTTAAATTGAATCCAAACGATTAGACGGGTGAGTGATTTGGGGAAGACAACATGTGACATTTCTACAACCTCAATATATTAACAAAGTCAAAGGTTTCAACCCTCCAACAAAGTTTCAACCTTGTGACAAGAGATAAACTATGTTATGACTAGAACTACCACGAGTTTAAAATCTAATTTGAATTCCATTTCAAATCAAAAGTTGAAAGTTTTTTTTTTTTTGACTAAGCATAGAAGATGATGCAGTGACTAAGAAGAAAAAAATGTAATGACTAAGAAGAAAAAAATGTAATTGCAAATAAATCAATTATTTTGCTGTGTTGTTAATACTTTTATGCTTTTATAAGTTTATATTTTATTTTGCAATATGAAGATGAGATAAAACACATTCTAGAGAGAATAAGAAAGTATGAATGCATAATTTTATTTACCAAAGATAATTTATATTATTTAATGTGGCATATTAGATATAATTTATTATATATATATATATATATATATATATATATATATATATATATGAAATACTTTTTAATTTTAGTAATTAAATGTGTTGGAGAACGAATTAAAGAAGTGATATTTTAATGAGTTAAATTAATTAGCGATTTTTATGAAGTTTTTAAATATAATTTGTCTTCTTCTATAATAAGGGTGTGCAAAAACACTTTCACATTTAAGTAAAATAATATATAAAATATTATTATTATTATTATTTGAAAAAAATTTATCTATTTTTCCTCCATATATGACAACATTTCGAACCATGTAAAAATAAGGTTGTAGTTATTAAGTACTCCATGTCTAAGAATGTTCATCATGTTACTTAACGAGTTTATTAAAATTGTATTTTCAATTTTATAAAATTAAATTGATCTAAAAGCAACAAAGAAACTAGGGGAACTTATTTTTAAATTTATATCTATTTAAATATCGAAAAAATATATTCTATCATATTAAATCAAATAGATTTTTTTAATTATTATTCAAACTAAACCATTTAACGTTTTAAATTTTAAATTATATTTCTTTTTATTAAAAAATGGAACCAAACTCTAATATTATTTCTCAATTATATTAGGTCTAAGATGGTTACCACACACTATTCTTGTCCTTGTACATCAATCTTTGAATCAAATATAAGATAATATGATTAAGAAACTTAAATCCTTAAGTTAAGTTAGTTACCCTTTAAAATCAAATTTGTAAAAAATATCATTGAAAATATTTATATAAATTCTCTAGAAATCAATTAGTAGCATGTTATTTTTACTAAATTTTCTAATTTGATACCACATTAAACAAAATAATTTAATTTAAATAACATGATATATTTTCCAATAAAAAATTCATTAAACTAAAAAAAGTTACACTCTTACCTCTGTTACAATAATTTTTTAGAAAACTTGTAAAAAAAAAACACTATTAAAAAACATTATTTCCTACAAACAAATATTATTTTCTGAATAATAAATAAACTTTCTTTTCCTACTTCATATTGAATAATTAATCTTAATAAAAGATGTATAATGAATATGAAGAATAATTTTCTTAAAGTTATCTATATTCTTAAAGCAATAAATTGAAATCTTACTCCACAAATAAGTATATCACAATTAAAAAGAACATTTCTAGAATAGTGACATATAAATATGAATTACAAATAATGATATCCAATCTACATTTAAAAAAAAATTAACATATGAAATTCTCTCAACAACAAAAATGAAAAAAAAAAAAACACACAGAACAATTTCATATTTAATCCCCAATGAGTGGTTAGGGGGCATAACCAAAACTGAAGAAAGAATATGAAATAAATACAATAAAAATCAAAACTTTAAATGGGGTAACAAAAAAGAAAGCCCTCTGAGCAGATTTTCCTTAATTCTTAGCCAAGAATTTACAGCGACCACACATACTTTGAATAAAACAACTTGGTAATGTCTTGCTATGGTCAGAGGTCTTCTGAGCTCAAATATGTTCCAGCAAACCTCTTGGAAAAGTCTTCTAACAAACCCAAAATTGAAACAAAAGACTGTCTCTAATATATATAGCATAGTGGAGTATGTTCTCCTCTATACACTTTCTAAGGCTCTTTATTGAGTGCTTGATTTCCATGCAGCAAGTGATGTCAGAAATTCCATCACCTGAAGATACAAAGATGCTTGGATTGGGACATCAAAAGGTTATATCAATATAAACAAACAACTTCTAATAATAATGAGTTAGGATCAGTTTCATAATCTGAAATAATCAATTGTTTATACGCGGTAAAGGTAAACAACAAGTAGTTTTTTTCTCATTTTTTATAGCATCACCATAGTTTTGTGCAGTGAAATCTATGCGTCATCTGAACACACCACTAATAAATTAGAATGAAGAGAATTACCTCTGAGGGTTCACGAAGAGAGTAAATTGCATTGCTTTCTTTTGGGACAGGGGACACTATGATGCCACAACCTTTATTAGCTTCTCTCAAAACCTGTAACAGTTGGTTTTTGTTATCAGTGTTAAGGGAATCTACAAAAAGAAAAATTGTGAAACAAGCACTTTGAGCCATGCCATCATAACAAGCTAGTTATTACTATTACCTTAAATGCATCTTCATCTGTTCTATCATCTCCAACATATATAGCTAGCACGTCATCACAATTGTTAAGTCCTAAATAAATAAGTGTTACTGTCATTTACAGCATAACAAAATTCTGATCTTCAAAGAAAGTAGCCATTAGATAAAAACAATGAACTCACCAAGTGACTCAAGTAAAAATGTGACAGCTTTTCCCTTATCCCAGTCAATCACTGGCCGAACCTCTAAAACCTGAAAATAAGCAAACATAGATTATTAAGAAGTAGTTTTAACAGTTAGATCTCTTGAAAAATGAGTAAACCAAATTGGGTGTGGAAATAGTACCTTCCGCCCATGAGTTAAACGCAAACGTGGATACTGCTTCAGAACATCATACACACGTTGTCCCACAATTTGCCAACTCTGTACATCATTTTAAGATTAGTTTTAACCAAAATTAATTTCATTCAAACATGCACATAATACGTTGGTAAGAAGAGGAAGTCATCTTAAGTTGAAAAATTCCCCATTCTTATGCTAAACATTAAGCATCAGACAAGAAGTTAGTACCTCCTCATCTACATTCCGGTAATGTAGAGATGCACAAAATTTATTGTTCTCAACTGTTGCTCCTTCAATATCTTTTGTACACTCCTTGAGCAACCCAAGTACCTGCGCGAACATGAAACATTAGTTGATCAGCATACAACTTTCCAATGCAGAAAAAAAGTGGAAAATAATTTGATTGAATAGTATTTTTCAAATATACTTACCTCATCAATCATGGGCAGGAATTCAGAAGCAGGTTGGAATAAATTAACTTCAACAACACCCTGTAATTTCAAAAGAATGAAAATCAAATCGAGACGCATTACAAGGTACTTCTAATAGACAATGCGCGAAGTCAGACACATATTCACAAACACGTGCCGGGTAGAAACTTTGAAATCGGTACCTGCTTGTCAGAATCGGGATGATCATCAGAAATAGATTGTCTAGGAGGACCAATAATGTCCATTCCATGACTACCAGCATAATAGAGCTCACTTATTCCAACAAATTCATATACCTGAGCCAATAGCGTATATAAAATAAAGGTTAAAATCAGAAGTCAAAACTAATGATCAACAATGAAACTTGCTAAGTGCAGATGTGAGTACTAGTAAAAGAAAAAAAATTGTTTCATAAAATTCTTCCACTACCTTGTCACGTCTTCTTCCACTAATTATTGCAGTTGGAAAATATTCCGCTACTTTTTTAACAGCAGCACGCATCTACAGAAGTTTAAGGGTCAGATAAAAAAGTAGTAACATGAGAAGAAAAAATATTATTGAAATGTGGACGATAAATCAATAGAGAACATTACGTACATTATCTGACATGAAAGCATAGTCAGGATTGTCCACAATGGGTGTAAGAGTCCCATCATAATCTAGAAACAATGCAATTCTCTTCCCTTTTGCACAGTTAGTAATTTGATCCAAAGATGCAAGTGCAGATGGAAACTTTAGCTGTGGAATTGAAAAAGAAAAAAGAGAGAAAATGAAACTGCATAAACAAAACATTCCAAAACCATTGAACACAAAAATTACACGGAGGAAAGTATGTTTTACCAGCCAGGCACTGTAAGCAGCATCAGGTGATCCAGTCCCATGACTGAGATCCTTGGATACTTTACCGTGAGTAGGAGAAGAAGATTTCATGGCATCAAGCCAACCGCTAGAACGAAAATCATCAAGAATTCCTGTCTTCTTCCTTGGAATTGCCAGCAAGGGACCATGATGGGGAAAGGTAGGCCCTTTTGGAGAAGAGTAAGGTGACAAACCAGAAGGCACACCCAGCCTTGACCTTGTTAAGGGTGTGGTATCAGTAAGGACAGGAGTAAGATTTGACTTCAGCTCCATCGGATCCAGGACTATGCACAGTTTCACAGTGCAGCAACAATGTAGAATTTAATGAGTATTCAGATACAAATAGAACCAAATTCTATAAAACTTCCACCACTTCACCCAACTCTTTTCTTGTCACAGCAGTTTATCAACTGATGAGTTCCTACAGACAATGATCACGCAATTGATTAGTTTGAACTCGTTGAATGTCAAGTGACAAGTAATTGAAAAACATGACAACAATAGTTTTAGAATAGAATTTCTCATAACTTTATGGTTAAAATTTGGTACAGTCCCTCTCACTCACCACCATGGTGGTCCTCTTACAGACTCAAGCAACCATCATTGCGCAAAAGTGGACGTAACCAATTGTCTTTTCAATGAAAAACACTAAAAAACAATTCAAGAGTGGTAAATCGATCGCGGATTGATGTCAACTTCACAATTTGACTTTTCTGTTTTATTGTATACCGAATAATAAATTAAATTACATAAACTACAGATAATTTTCAGCTTATGAAGTGATTTTGTAAAAATTGATTCAAATCCAATTTTTTTTTTTTAAATCTTGAGAATTTACTAAAATGGAATCAAAACCTATGTTACCGAAATACCCTAATCGAAACCAAATCTACTGTTAGAAAATACATGATTACAAGCACAGGAAGCAATTATTAAAGAAAAAACACGATCCCATGAAGAAGAAACAATTATTAGACAAAAACCCCGGTAAAAGCGAGCGTGAAAACAAACGACAACATCGCAGGAACTTAATTTAAACAGTTACAAGGCAGGCAAACCAGAATCACTTGTGGACAAAAACTGAATCAATCAATCAATCAATCAATCATTCATGTAGCGACCGCTCTCAATAAATGCACTCAAAAGAAAAAAAAAGAAAAAAGAAAAAAAGGAATTAACGTTCTCGTAAATAAGTAAAACCGGATTTTAAGAAAAAGGTTGAATAATAATACATTGAATAGCAACCATCTAAACCTAAATCACCACGATAGAAAGAATGATTCACCGGTCAAAACTGTAACCGAACCATTGAATGTCAACATATTTACGCAATCCCCATTAAATAAGAATAATAATCAAACCGTCAAAGTTCTGATTCTCAATTTGACTGGCAGAGAGAAAAGACAGCACGAGGTAAGAGAGGCACCTAATGGTTCACGGTAAAGAACACAATTCTCCGGAATCCAACAGTTTGATATGAACTCAAAACTTGCTGAATGGGTTATCTATTTTTTATTCCCAAAATTTAGGAGAGCAGATAGCACTCGAAAAAGTGTCTATATTCAAAGAACACTTGTAGAAGAATACACGTTTATTTACCTCAAAGACACAAATGAATATTAAACTTGCCAAAAACAGGACATTGTTTTGTTCCACTCAACCAACTTTTTAGAGTCTGTTAAGTCTTCCCTCCAAAAGCTATTATATTATGCCCAAAGATTAAAGGTCGACCACAGCTCCTTAACTGTTAAACCTGAAAATGACGATCCATAATTTGATGTCCATAAAAGTGTTGAATATGAAAGGTATGGACTCTTCTCAAACAAGGTTCCAAATTATATTTATCTTACTCTAATGAAAAATATAGACTCAAAATCACAACACGTTATATGTGAGATTCTATTCTTCTACTCTACCAATCCTATGAATTCTGTCAGAGATTTGAGGTGCATCCATGTTTAGTCAAACTCTCCATAATTCTTCAAATGATAAATGCATAGACATGTTGTGGATACGATCCGTGTAACTAACAAGAATCCATGTTTGTGAAAATCTTAAGACTCTAATTATAGTATTACGAGAGAAATTAATCTTTAATCCATTAGAAAAAACTTTGACAGAAAAAAAAAAAAAAAGACTTTTTTTGTCAGGTAATTCAAATTCAGACAATTCACAACCCCTCCTCCAAAACCGAAAAAGGGCATGATAGTTTACTTGGATGGACGATCCACAACCTTCCAATTTTCCAAAAAACGAAGTGGGAGATTCAGATCACAAATTACAATGCAAGTTGAAGATCAAACAGTAGCGAGGAGCTAGTGATGAATGCTACAGCATTACGGAGAAGTCGTGGTGAATTTTAGAGGAAACAAACAAAGCAATAGTTAAAAGTAGAAAAAGAAAAAGAGAAAGAAAACCTCTCCAAGGTGAAATTTCAGCAGAAGTTTCCTTTTGCAGTAATTTCCCAATTGAGACAGAGAGAGAATGTGCACGTGAGGGCGTAGATAGTTAGCGTACTTACACACTATTGAAAAGAAGAGGGTATGAGAATGGAAAGAAAGGAAAGTGTTGGAGTTTGAGGAGAAGAGAAGGGAAAGAGAATGGTTGTTTGTGACAATGAGAAAGGAAGGAACTTGAGGGACTATTTAAGAGCGTCGGTCCTCACCTAACGTCCTTACACAACTGCAGAGGCGTGGTCGTTCAATAAGAAACCACTCGCCACTAAAACATTTTCCATTTTCTATGCCTTCGTTCAGCTTCTCGCAGAGCCGCGTGAACGACACGTGTCTTTCAGCGAGGGCTGTGGGAGTGTTAGACCAGTGGGGTAGCGCGTGGATATAACGCTCTGGCTTTCGAGGGTCTTGAAAGGGGGAGAAAGGAACGGTGTTCCAGTCCAAAAAGGACCTAGAAATTAAAAAACAAAATTAAAAAGGTATTTCAAGTAACACGTGAGTTATCAAATGTGAAATGTTCCCATCTCTTTTTAAACAACTATAACTATTTTATTTTTTATAAGGGTATAAATAATTTATTATTAGTTTAATAAATATATTTATTATATATATAGAGAGAGAGTTTTAGTCTAAAGTTTAAAACTTTTTTTTCCCTCTTATGTGTAATTATTAATGAAGGATTTTTAACTCTAAAAGCTTTTTTTTTTCATCATTGAAAATGACACTCCAATATTTTAGGGTAGTTACACATTATACCCTTATTAGCTTCTTTAATACATGTTTCAAGTTAGAGCTTGTGTGTAAACCCTTATTATTTAAAATAATGGACATTGAAAGGGTAATCCTTGTATTTGTCCCAAAGGGTAATCCATTGAAGGGTAATCCTTAGCCCATGGTTTTCTTTGTCTGTTCTACTGTCCTTTCTGAGGTATTCATGATGTCCTACTCTTCAACAAGTACATTTTTCTCTACTTTAACCCTTCTAATTTTGTTAACTTATTATAACTTTTAATAATTTAAGCATAAATAATTAAGGGTAAAAAAAATGTCAATTTGTTGTTGAGTTTAATGTATAAACCTTAACTGCTACACAAAAGATAGTGGCCAGGCTCAATGTCCTGTCACCTACGATGCAGCACATGGCTCTATTCATCTTAGTCTACACTATGTTAATCAAATGCATGCTATTCGTGCTTAGTTTCATAAAAAATTTGACTTTCTCATGCACCATTTCTTTATACTTTCTTTAATTATTAGGGTTTGTGTTTAATTATTATTAGGGTTTGTGTTCCCATGTGGTATTCTCTGACAATATTGTAAGGAGAAACGTGGTATTCTCCCAACAATCTATTCAACAAAAGTAAAGACATCAGATCTTTCTAAGTTATGTTTTTTTTTTTTTTTGGGGTTAAATTTTTAAGTAAAATAGTGGTTTTTTCGATTATTTCTTAACTTATCTCGTAATTTTAAAAATTACAATAATATATTAATTACTTTCGGATTTTAAAATTTTAAAATTTATGATTAACTTTTTATCCTAAACACTAAATTTAAAATGACATTAATATATAAGTAATGTAACCAATATATTATCTCACGCATGAAAAACGTGAAAAGTTAGTTAGAGTGTCAGAAAATGAAGGATTCTTAAATGTGGAAAATAATTGTTTAGTAAATTTTTAAAGTAGATTCTTTAAAAGTATCAATATTTTCTTGTAATTTATAATATATTTTATGAATTATATTTTATCATAAAATTATAAAATCATAAAAAAGTTAGTTCAATTTGCATGTTTGTTAATAACATCGTTAAATTAATTTTCATGTCTAATATATTATCTATTTTGCAATTTTTATCTATCACGATCTTATTTTTTTTAGGATGTATGCGTAAGTTAAGAAAGAAAGATTAATATAAATTATCTTTGAATTCGACTTATAAATAATATAATACTTCATAAATTTACGGAAAATATTATAATCATAATTTGTTCTCGTCTTTATGTTTAATAATATTTTTATCATCGTAAAATTAATAAAAGAATTAAATTTATATTGAATAATATTTTTAATATGAATTTTGTAATGAGAGAATAAAAATGATTTAGTTAGTAAGATGTGGGTAATTAATATATGCATGCATCCACCTCAAGCTTGCGTGTTCTCCATTGACCATATACATTGACTAAAGTCTTTCTCTTTAATTCTCGTGGACCAAACCATTTTTTCCTTCCACAAGAGTCTAAAGAAACCATGCAATTTTCGTCAAAAAGGAAAAATTAATTAAGAAAAAAAATAGACATAAGAAAGTGACACCAATTAGATCCACCACATTTAATATACATACCTCTATTTTCAAAATACGTTCAAGAGGTAAAAATAGATCTTCACACCAATACATTTCTTATATCAGTTATATTAAGAACCTAATTTTACGTATAATTTTATTAAAAAACTAATGTGATGAGTAATTTTCTATATGTCTATTCTATTCAAAAATATATAATAATTAACTTTACATGTGAATTCTATTTAAGATTAAAGACTGATTTGAATTTTTACATATTTAAAAACAAAATTTATTTTTTTATTTTTTTTAAAAGGCTAAATTGACAATCACACACGTTTTAGAACTAAATTAACCAATTATTAAAAAAAATATCATTAATCATGGTTTGGATTTCGTCTCTCTTAAAATTTTTTACTCATACGATAGTGAAAAAAGAGAGAGTAAAACTCAATTAAGTGATTTAAATATTTAAAAAATTAATATATTAAAATTATTTCTATAAAGGTTAGATTAAAAGAATGAATATTAATTTTCATTATTTGTAACAAATTTATTAGTTTTGTCTATTAATATTCTCTTCAATTAAAACACTTAAAATAACTTGTTATAGTTTTTTTTTTATCTATAATAAATATAACTAAAAGATAGAAGTATAATTAATATAGTCTTAAACTTCGTAAATACTATATATTTAGAAATATTTTTTTCTATAAAAAAGTCACAAATATATATTTTTAATAAGAGAAACATAAAAACAAAAAACAAAATATAAAGAAAGTGAGTAGGATTTTGTTAGACACTGATAAGGTTCCACACCCCTCCAACGAAGCTCGTCGGATCGATGCAAGGGGTATTTTTGACCGGAAAAATGTTAGGCTTTGACTCGATACTCATGTTAAGGTTCCAACATAAAATCAAATGACAATATGTTGAGTAGTCTAACATGTATTTAAACCATACCAAATAATATAAGGTAGACGATATGGGACTTTCAACAGAAAGAATATAAAATAGTAAAAACAATTTAGTTTTTAAGTCAGTGATATATTTATACACTCGTTACTCGTATGTAAATTTATTATAAAATAGCAATTAACGATTAAAAGATAAAATAAAAAATAAAAAATTTAATAAAAATTTGAACAAAATTATGAATACACAGGAACGGATTTTGATTATTGATTTTGAAGGATCAAATAATATATTATTAATAAATAATAAATAAATATAGAAAAAACAAAAAAAATGAAAGGGTGAAAAGATAAAATTGTAGATATATATTTAAATATATTAAATGATCATTAAATTTGAGAGAAACAAAATTGTAAATTATATGAGTAGTTACAAAACTAAGGAGGACTTAAAAATAAAATTATAAATATATTAAATATTTATTAAATTAAAAAGGAGTTAGAAAAATAAGAGCGACATTGGTGTGCTCGACAGAAGATCATGCGGATACATACAAGAAAAGTGAAAAGTGTGTAGGTGGAGAGAGGTGTTGGTCAAATATGGTGACCATAATACACAAAATGCTGACTCTGCATTTGTCTGCTTTTCCTTGGCGATGCACCAAGTTTCACACAATAAGACGATCCATGCAACATCATCGCCTAAGTGGTCCACACCAAACTTCTTCATTTTATTTTATACTTTTTTAAATAATATCTTTTAAATAACATCTTCATGTAAACTATTTCTTAATTCCCATTTCTTCTGGGCCTCCATTCTATCATCACAAAACCCCCTAATTAATTCATTTCTCAACAATCACCGTGGTCCACACATTTATCATTCTAAAGTCAAATAACTAACAACACTTGTTAGCTTAATATAGCTCAAATTCATCATTTTATCCTACTCTTATATCTTATGATTATTTTTTTATTAATGCTATAATACCATACCCTAAAATTAATATTAACATTTATATATAAATAAATTTAGTATATCTATTTTATTTTATTATATATTTTTTTATAATTATTTTATATATTGATGAGTCTTTTGCAAGTATTCACATTTATTCTTTGTTTATTCGAACGAATGAATTTAAGAAAATTTGGATATTTTTTTTATCTAAATAAAAAAAATATTAATAAATATATGATATTGAATGAAAAAATTATGAAAAATGAAATCTTGTTAATAATCCATAATTGTAGAATTTGTTTATTAAGTTTTTAGGGGTTTGAATTTTAATTTTATGTTGGGAAAATTATTTTTCAATGTGAAATTTTCGACATCGTACACTCTTCGATACCTTAATAAGTGGCAAACAAATTATTCACGCACACGTGAAGATGACATCACCAACACGTAAAAGATGACATCACCAATACCTAAATATCACATTCACACGTCTCTAATAACTATTTTTGTTAATATAAAATTATCATCCAAATATACATTCTTTGGCATGAAAACAACTGAAGAGATAAAAAATATTATATAAAGGTAACAGTGAATATAATTTTTTAAGTGAGATTCAAAGTTCAAAATTTATTTTCAACTTAATAGTATCATAAATAAGTTAAATGTTAAAGTTTTTTTTTTTAAAAAGAGAAAGTTATAATCAAATCAATAAGGATTAATAGATGCATTATTAATAATATTTTTTATTTAGTTATTCTAACCACTGAAAACTTAATGAGAGCATTTTTTTTTCATTTATTATGATAAATATTTATGCTAATCTATATGACGTAAATGTTTAAAGGAGTTAGAAAAAAACTACAATAAATACAAAGGTCATAAGAAAATGTATTAAAAATTATTTATTTTATATTTTTTATGTTTTTCACTCACAAGTATAATCAAATTATTTTTTTCTAAATAAATGTATGTTTTCATATGTTTGTTGTATCAAATCCAATAGACATCATTAAGGTTATTTGTCCATTTAAATAAGGGTAAGATCCTCACTTGATTTCCAATGCCATTTGACAAAAATAGTTTACTCAAATCAAAGTGAACTAAAGAGTAGTTCAAGCAAAATAAACTCAATATATTTTAGTTCAATCAACCACATTCTACATTTTCAAACTATATACTACTCTTTTTTTAATACAAAACATTGATAGAAATTTTGAAAATTTCGTATTATGATTGAATGTGATAGATTGGGTAACAAGATTCTTCTCCCTTCCTTAAATTAGCTTTATTAAAATATTTATCAAAATTAATGCAAAAAAATATTATTTTTTTGAATAATTACTGTTATCACCATGATATTTCCCACTATTATTCGATTCCACCAACTCTCTACCATGATCATTGTTGCAGCTGGTAATTAGAATATGAGTTGACTGAGAGCATCAAACTTCCTAAGAAAATATACAGGACTAATCTATGCTAAAATACCACCTGTGATAGAACTCAACATGGAGCAAAAATCCTAGTTTTGTGGCAGAAATGAATTTGTCCAACCTATAATCATCACAAAAGGAATCATCTTGTGGAGAATGATGATGAAGAAGTTGTGGCAGGACTCAAGTACTATTCATCCTTCTGCACAGGTAGGAACGGATTAGTTTCACCTATGTCACTCTCATCCTCTCTCAGGCCTGTAGACGTTGACAGAACCAAGCACAACTTTTCCAACTCTTCTGTTTCTACGTGCTCTTCTGCTCATACTACTTTTCCTTCTCTTCTCAGCGGGTTGTGACAAGGGTAGAGAATGAATCCATCTTAATGGCACTAGAGCTGCAAGAGACTGTGCAAGAATTCCCATTGTCAAGCCAGAGTAATCACCGGATGTAACACCAAGGCAAGAGGCCAATCCAACACCCAGAAAGGCACTAGCTATTGATGATAGGCACAAAGCTGATGCAAGGAAAGCTGTGAGAGATCCTTCACATCCCTTTGGACATAAATTTGCAAATAAAACTGAAAAAGGAAGGAGCTTGAACTGAGCCACAATTTCTGCTAAACCAGAAAAGCAAAGAGCAAACACCTCATTGGAAATTCCCCATTTGAGATTTATCTGTTTAACCAAAATGAGATCAAGAAGGAGAGATGAAGCATATAGAATCTGCACCATGCCTATCAGCTTTCGCATTGAAATTTTTTTCCAATAACGGTTGTAAAGCACAGTTCCTGAAAGCAGCACAAACTGGCCAATCACTCGGGACAACCCGATTACTGTAGGATCAAGATTTAGGCACTGTGTCTGATAGCAAAATATAGAACCTGAAAGCATTGGGACCACGGCAATTGACCCCACAATCCATACAAGGGGCCGGGAAATGCTCTTGTCACTGATGGCCACAACAAGATCAGAGATTTGTTTCCTGATATTTTCTGAGATGGATTGCCTAGAAAGATTTTCACCTGAAAGTTGTGTTATGCCTAAAGACTCCTCTCTCGTTGATAAAGAAATCACTAGTTGCAGAGACAGTAAAGATGAAAATATGACAAACATTGTTCTGGGAGGCATTTTCTGTAAGAAATAACCACCAATCAAGTTGCCTAAGATTCCACCTGCGGCTAATGCCATGAATGCATATGCCTGCAGGCCACCAATTTTGTGCTTCTTGCCATACTCTGCTACAAGAGCATCCTGTGCTACTTCTGCAATGGATGCTCCCAAATTACCGAGTAGCACACATGCAATTAAGTTGGGTAGCACTTCTTGTGCAATGGGGACCAATGCTAGAAGACTCCAAGAAAGAACTTGCAGAAGACCTGGAGATTGAACCAAAAAGGTATTTATTAAATTGTATAAATTTTTTGGGGGCAAAAGAAGAAGTTAATTAAGAAGGAAATACAATTATAAAGAATTTATGGATAAACTATATTCACAGAAGTAAAAGGAAAATATAAACAACAAATAATAAAATCCATCAATGGAGTAAAGCTATCCAATCCCTCAATATGTGCATTAAAACCCCTTAAAATGATACAGAGTCTTACACCATATACAAGTCATTAAGCCAAAGGCCTAATCTCATCCTAACTCCTCTAATGTACCAGAGAAACTTCCATCAATTTATAGGAGTGACATTCCAACAAGATATATCAGCATGGAATATATCTTCATGTCCTACACTCACACATAATGGCAATTCTTTATAGTTTTCCACATTTTCAAATATTTTGATGTTAATATACTTATACACATGGCTATTTAAAAAGATCTAATCAAATTACTATATAAACACAAGAAACTCAATAATTTAAGCTACGATTGCATCTTTGCCTATTTCTTATGAGCCGTATACTACTCCACTACTTTCAAATCATATATATTTCACAGAAAATCATGGTAAGAGACTGGATTACTAAGTCAAATAAAGGAGTTCCGCCTTGCTTTTATTCTTGTCTTCCCGAGCACTACTCCCGTAGTATCATAATCATAAATTTTTTCTGTAAAGAATTTGTTTATACAAAAAAGTACATGATATCTATCACTGGACACAGATATCTATCAGTATATAGATAAAGAACAACCTAAGGATGCAACAACAGAACAAAACAATCTCGTAGATTTCGTTCTAGAACTCAAAACTCATAAATTAGATTTTCACTTTCAGTATTCATGTGTTCGGTCTATCTTATTCAATACATTTTCTGACTGAACACTTAGTTCCTATGACCTTATCAGCATGTTAGAGATAATAGATTTAAATTCCGATCCTGGTCTTTGCACTTGTGTGCTCCCTTTTGCACTTGTGTGCTCTCTTTTGAAACTTATCTCATTTCATTCAGATAAAGCTCAAAATAGTCGATTAGATATGAATGAAAACATACAAAAAATCAATATGTTACATGTACTCATTCAAAAGACGATTAAGAGAATGAAAATGAAATGAAAAGATATATTCCAATGGTGACTGCATGAAGAAAGGTTAGTTTCTCGTTGGTCCGTAACTCCTGCTTTTATAACACCAATTGACTCATTCACAGAAATCAAAAGACACAAACATGGAAAAAAAAAAATCAAAAAAATCAAACATTATTACTTTAAAGGAAACTCAAATTACAAAACTTAAGGGAAATTTGATTATCTTCTGCTTCTTTTATTTGAAAAACGGATTTTTAAAACAACCTCCATCGTACTCAGTAATCAATTTCCCATCCTAACTTAAGGGGATTTTTGTCTTCCTTGTTTTTTTTTTTTTTTCCCAAAAGTGTGTGTCGATGGAAAGATGTTCGGGTCTTCCTTCCAAATACAAATCAAACACATTTTACAAGATAGCAACAGTTTATTGAAAAATAGTAAAAAAAAAAAATGCTATCAACGCTCTCACTTAAACATCCTATGATTGAGTCTGTTTTTAAAAAAAAAAAATGTGTTCTTAACTCTGTTCTACAAAACAAACATGGTTTTAATGTTGTTTTTAAACCTTCTTCCAATCTGGGTTATCATTTTACTTTCATAATCTGCATGAAACTCTAATGCTGGAAAAGCATTTAAGCAAGTTACCTCCTATGGCAAGATAAGGAATTCTGTGAGCCCCACTGATATAGATGGCATCCGAAAGGATTCCATAAAGTGGCTTAGCCACCATGGGGAGGTTGGCAGTGTTCTGCACGAGCTGCAACGTGGAGGGGTGCAAGTTGAGATTGGTAGCCATGTGAAAGTTCAGCGCCAGCCACGGAAAGCACCTGAAACCTTGCACCCAATAACCCAACCCACACAACATCACCATTTGTCTGTTCCCATCTTCTCCCCTCTCTTTCTCCTCGTACTTCTCCTTAACCACGACGCGCCTCGTCATCACCGTCAATGTGGGTTTCTCATTGACGGCGTCGGCGTTAGCGCTGCGGCTGGTGGGGTTACTGTAGTTTAGGAAACAAGTCACAGGTGGCAGAAAAGGTTTTCTGCGATGTTCGTGAAACCTCGGGATGTTCCAGACCACTGGGTTCTGGGAAGAGACAGCGTAAATCATGGTTCCGGGGATTCAGAATTTCCCAAATGAAAAGGAACAATGGCTTATGATTTTGCTTTTGTTTTCGTTCAGGGTGAAAGGAATTAGTCACTCAACCGCTTAAAAAACTAAACTTCAAAAGAAAAAAAAAAAAAAGTGTTTACATTTAGTAATTAACACATGATGATAGTAGTGTTGAAAGGGTGAGTAAGAGAAAAGAGGATAATGGGTGATTTTTCTTTTCTTCGTTTTTATAGTGAATGGTTTGAGTCAAGGGGGGGTGATGGAGTGGTGAAAGAAAGAATATATGCTAGAGAAAAGGGGAAGGGTAATGGAAGAGGGATCTAGAAGAGTGTATTGGGGGTTATTTTTTGAGGGGGAATTAAATTGAAAGAAAATAGTTATTTATGTGAGAGTTGTTTGTTTGTGATTGAGAGGGATGAAGAGGGTTCCAGGTTTTAGATTTGGTGTGGAAGTGACGGATGATGACAATGCTGAACAAAGTGGGGTGCGAGAGACTGTGATGCGTTGTTTATTAGGGTGATTTCTGGGTTTGGGGACGCACGTGAGGGGCACGCGCGGGGAACGTGGGATTCCCGTGTGTGTGAGATTAAGGTTTGTTTGTCTGTTTGTTTGATTGTGTGGTGCGGACGTGATTATGAGCCGTTGAAAGTGTTGATCGAAAATTTGCGGCAAAGGAGTGGATTCACGGTTTTGTCAGAGTACAGGTATTTACTTGTCATTGTTATATGACAACAACATTACTTATTATATAAATGTTTTGTTCAGAAAATATTAAGTTGTTAATATTATGATAATGCAAAATGCAATCTATAATAAAAAGATTAGGATGCTGTTAGGATAATAATTTTTAGAAAAATTATAAAAAATTAATAGAATCAAAGATTTGATGGATTCTGAGTCATAAAAAGATAAAATAGCATGTTCTAGTTTTTTATTTCATATTTGTTTTTTGTTTTTATAATTTTAAATTGATAAATATAATATTTCAAAACTTTTTAACTATTAAAATAATAAATTTAATCTTTAATAATAATATATTACAATGAATAAAAATTGAACAATTTCACTTATATATATCTCTTAATTTTTATTAATGATTCATTAGTTCTATATTATTAAAAATCGAAATGAATGATAATTTATATAGATAAGATTAAGAGATTCTTAAAATAAATAATTTTTTTTATACTTAACAATTAATTAACCAATTTTTAAACAACAACTTATTTTTATTATGGTGAGATGTTAATTAATTCTAGACTATTTTCTTAAATGCTTACATTTGATAATAATGTTTTAATATATTGGATTAAATAGTTTTTTTACTTAAAATTGATACTTCTAATATCTTTCAATATTTTAATACCTAATAGTTAATAAATATGTGAATTGAGTTCTAATAGAAGTTAATTTACTTTTTAAATTAAGAATATTAGTATGTTAATTTTGAAATTATATGCGAATATATTTAATTATATAATTAGGACGATTATATGTGAAAAATATTAATTTAAAAGTAATAAAGTTACTTTTTAATCTTAAGTTATTTATATTATTTGTGATATTAAAACATTTATTATTGTAAGAAAATGGTTCCATAAACGCTTTTAAATACACTTTCTATGGTGACAAATTTCTGAAAATTCTTTAAAACAAGTATTTAAGGTTTAGTGAGAGGAAACGTGTAGAAACTATGTATGCTTCACTACTCTATCCCATAACAACTCTATAGTTATTGGTTAATAATTATTTGGTGATTGAAACATGATTTTGTCTATCAAATTCTGGAAGAAAATAAAATATGAATCAACAAGTTTTTATTAATTTTATTTTTTTCAATAAATATTTCAATTTTTTTAATACAATTAAATATACATTGATTTCAAGAAAAGCAATACAACAATTTAATTTTAAATTTGAAAAATTATTTATTAACGGAGATATATTAATTATATATATAAAAAGTCATTCTAAATGACAAAGTCAATATATTATATTATTTAATTTAATTAATTTGGTTCAAGTTAAATCCAATTAAGGTAAAAATATGAACCAATTTAATTATTCTTAGATTGGTTGATTCATTCAAACTAATTAATACTCCTAAAGATGAGCTCTTAAGAAGTTTTTGTGTTATACTCGTTTTCACCCTTTTTCTCAAAATTTAATTAGAAATCAATACCAATAGTATAAATTTCTTCCTTTGCATGATTAACCTTTTTGATTGAGAAGGAAAAGTACAGTAATAAATTCATAATTTCCCCAAACATCACTTTTTGGAGCTAAAAATTCCTTCCATTTGGTCAATCATGGAGTTCATGTCAATCAATATGGAAATAATTTTTAAGTATGTCTTTGAATGAGAAAACTTAAAAATTTCAGAAAATAATATTTTTAAATTTAAATTATTAGTTTGGATACTATGTGCAGAAAAATGGAATATATATTTTAAAACTATTTTTTAATATTGAACTTTATTAAAAAATAATATGAACTAGTTTTTAAATATTCGTTTTAAATAATTTAAAATGATACAAATATTTCTATAAATTAGTTACTTTTAATTTATCTTTTATTATTTTTTTTAAACACCATATTTTATCAAAGAGTGTTTTAAGTTGTCTAAAACATAAATCAACTATTAAAATTCTTGGTCCAGGTAAAATATTATCTCGATGATTTATAGTTATTAAAACAAATAGAGTAATAATTAGTTCCTATAATCTAAGTCACTTTCTGTGACATGATTACTCTAATTGAAGTTCATAGACAAGACAAATGAATTATTATTATGGATTACATAGCCATCCAAACTTATCACAAATGAAATCTAAACAGGCATCCCCTGCGAAAGCACTGTCCCACAGCCAAGACAACGGTTGCAATTTTACTATCAAACCTCCACTGTTACTAACAAATAAACAAATAAATAAATAAAAAGAATGTGCAAAACAAAGGGCCCAATTTTCTAGTTGGAGTCAACTGTGTGTTCTGAGTACATACAATTACATCTTTAGTTTGGTTCCTTATTCTAACTGCAGAAACAAAAGAACAGTAAAAGTGCAGGGGAACATGTTACCCAATTTCAACAGGGAATGAAGTTGGTTGGGCTTATACGTAATTACATCTGTAAGTGAAAGGGTAAAAGTAATAATCTCCCCCTTATGAATAATATCTTCTAATTATTAACCATCTAAACTAACTACGTGATTACATAATGGTACAAATTTCACTATAATCAGTGAGTGAGAGAATATATGTTCCTAAAACCATGGCCTAGATTCTGCTACGTAGTGAATACAGATGTATCATCATATTCTCTTGAAAAATTTACCACCTTTCTTTCCCATGCCTATGCCCATATCAGAAGGGAAAAGGTATTTTGTATCTGGCCTCCATTTCAACTCTTTGAGAGTAGAAAACAAGGTTGCAAGTTCAGGAGAGATATCGCTATCCTTTATATTTTTACATGACTCTACCCTAAGGCACTCTAGCTCCTTCCACTGCTCAATTAAGGACTCCAAACCTTCTGTTGTAAGCAACGAGCATCCTTCAACGTAAAACAATTTCACCCGCCTGAAAATAGACCAACAACAACTGTAATTTGACTAACAAATAATCTTACCATATTCATAACAAATCCGTATAACTTATCCACTAAGGATTACATAACTTGTTCTTTGATGATAAATATTTAATGCTGCAAGAAACTAAAGCTAAGTTATATATGATAAATAATTTAAACATGATTGATAATAAAGACATCAATACTTGTTCTTTGATGCAGCAAGAAACAGTACGTTTTAAAATAAAGTGATCCCCGATTGAACCTCACAAAAAGGGAAAATTTTAACACAAACTCTCAAAAACATTATAAACACCTAGATCACAATGAACCCACAAGTTATAATTACTTATTTTCAACTTCATAAAAAACTTCAAGATTTCTCCCTATACCTGCAAACCAACCAGATTAACTATGCACATAATGCTACGAACACAATTTCATACCTACAACTGCAAAAATTTCATGAATTTGATTTTATTGAAGTGTGTGAGAAGATGTTTATACAACAAGAGTATATTTTCCATAATTTAAAAAATGCTCAATTAATAAGCTAAGCTATTATAATTCAAAAATTTAAATCAACATATATAAATTAAAAAAAAAAAAATCTCTCTCTCTCTCTCTCTCTCTCTCTCTCTATATATATATATATATATATATATATATATATATATATATACACACGCATATACATACATTATACATATCTTTATTAGTTTAATGCTGTCTTGTAATATCAGAATTCAATTATTATATAAATTTTAAAGTAATTATTACAAAAAAAACTATTATAATTCACAATTAAATCAAGATTGATATATTCTTACAAATGTCAAGAACATCCTTCCTATTAATGGCAATCCATTTGCAGAACAAAAGCTCTTTACACTGCTCATGCATTCTAATTAAATCTATCTTTGTTTTCTCATATTACAATTATTTTTTCTTTTAATTCAAAAAAGTAAAACCCAATCTCACCATGGACCAATTCCATTTGCACATTTACAGATTCAAATTCAAAGTGAAAATTAACCAGAGAAAAAATAGGGACAACACTTAGATCCAGTTTCTGAAGTGTTCTTCACATAATTCTCCAATCAGAATCAGAATTCCATTTCAATTACACATGTTAACATTTAATGAAAACACCTGACGAATTGCATCTAGGTTAAAATAAAATAAAATAGAAGATCCTCAATTACATGCATTACCTGCAAACAATAGCCAAACTTAAGGTGGCATTATCCAATCCCCAGCAGTCCTGAAGAACAATCTCCCTGGCATTTCTACACACCGAAAACAACGCTCCGACGCCATTCTTATCCCTCAGCTGGCACTTCTGCAAATGCAACCTTTCAAGGGCCTCACAGCACCCCAAATGCTCCTCCAACCCAGGGTTCCCATCAATCACCTTACAAGACTGAACCCTCAAAGTCTTTAAATTTTCGCAAAATGAAACCCCCGCGAGCCACCCATCGTCCATCCTATGATCCACAATCACCAACTCCTCCAACATCACACAACACTGCCCAATCGCCTTAACCCCATCGAAGCTCCCCTCACACCCAACAAGCTCCAATTTCACTAGCCTTCTACACCCCTGCGCCAAAATCGTGAACCCGATATCCGAAACCACGGAATCATAGAACCCTTTCAAACTCCCAACCAGTTTCAAAATCTGCAAATTCCGACACGCCGCGACGCCGCGCAAAACGGCATCATCGCACCGCTGCAGCTCGAGCTCCTGCAGCGTCAGGCACTCGGAACCGACGGTCGAGATCCCGGCCTCGCTGGCACCGGCAACCTCGAGCTTCCGTAGATTGGGGCAGCCACCGGCGAGCGATCTGAGACCGGCGTCAACGGCCTCAGCAGGTAATAGGCTTCCCACGCGCCACGTGGAGTCCACGCCCAGCGAAACCTGCTTGTGACTAAGTACAATGGTGGTTGAGTTTTGCGGTGAAGCGAACGAACCCGGAACCAAATCGACATGGTTCAGGTTCGGGAAGCGGTGGGTCAACCGACCCGAGAGAACAAAGTTCCAGTCGAGGAGGCGCAAGGTTCGGAACAACCGACCCTGGAGGTTCAGCCAGCGCTTACAGACGAGAGAATTAGAGTTTCGCTGCGAATCTGGAAGCTTCTCGAAGATTCTAATGAGAAGCTGGTCGGAGAGGAGGAGGGTTCGGTCCATTAATATAAGCGTAGAATTGGGGATTAGGGTTTTGGATTTGGGGTCGGAGAGGTGCATGGCGAGGACCATAGGGTTGAGGGGTTGGGCAGCGGCGGGGGAGTTGAGCCAGGGCTTTAACGGTGGCGGAGGAGAGAAACTAGGGTTGGTTTTGGAGTTGGAGTGAAACGACATCGTTTGAAGGTAGTGGTGGTGGTGTTAAGAAGCTTCGCATTCCCGGTTAACAGTGAAGTGGAGCAGAGTGTTGGTGGTGTTGGGGTGTGTTTGGCGTTCGGCATTGTTTGTGGAGGTTTGTGTCCAAAATCTCTATCTATATCCTTCACAACCAATTTTGTTGTGGGTCTCAAAATTTTCATTATTTCGAAATCATTTTTTTGCTTTTTGTTTTCTTCTTCATGGATTTGGCTGTGGTTAGAGTGTGCACCATTTGGGGATTCAAAGCACTAGAGACAAATTTTACCATTCTTACTCTTTCTTTCTTCTTTTCCTTTTCACTTTCTTTGCTTCAAATTTCCACTACAACTTGTTTTATTCCTTTGTTTCATTATTTTTTTATTTATACTACGTTTGTTTTATCATGATTTATTTTAAAAAATTAATAAAAAATGTGAATACGTACATATAAAGAATAAAGAAAATGAAATAAATTAATATTTTAAAATAAATTTGTAGTAAAAATATTAATACCCAATATAAAAAAAATGTTATATACTAGATTGACCCAAAAGATATCAGTAAAATTGGATAATAAAATAATATTGAACATTTTAAAAATAGAAATCGAATTGAATAATAAAAACAACAACAAAACTAAAAGAGTGTGTTTCACATGAGGAATAAGGAGGTGCATTAATGTCCTCTTTTTTTAATTGATTATTTTTCCAATAATAACCCTGAATTTTATACTAAAACTAATTTTTAATGAGTAGGTTATGTAAATATTTTACACAGTCCATTCAACTCAATTAAATTTCTATTTATCATAATTAATTTTAGAGAAGATAAATAATATATTATTAATAAATAATAAATAAATATAAAATAAAGTAAGAAGATGAAATGGTGAAAGGATAAAATTGTAAATATATATTTAAATATATTAAATGATTAAGGAGGTAAAATCATAAATTATAGGCGAGAGTTACAAAATTGAGAGGACTCGAGAGGATAAAATTGTAAATATACAAATAAATATATTAAATGTTGATTAGGTTTGGGACCAAAATCATAAATTACATTAGTTACCAAATTTTTGTCACCACGCTCCCCTCGATTTCCCAATGATCATACATAATTTTTTTTATTTTCTATTTCAGTCACTCATTTTGTAGGTTTAGATGATAACATGTTGAAACCAAGAACACACAAAAAGCCTAGCATTTTAGTGTTGGGATGAAGTTTTGGATGAGTACTAATGGTCTGAATTTCAATTAACAGAAATTTATCAAAAATTAATTTTATCTTTAAATTACGATTTCAATGACAAAATCGTCACAAATAAAAATTTCTACCTCAAATTATCTTTAATAATGTTATTATAATAGTAGGTGAAATCGTGACATTCTTACAAACAACAATCATCAAAACTATATAAAATGCATTTTACAACAAAGTCAACCACATGCAGAAGAATAAAAATATTACCTTTGAACTTCCACCATATATACGTGCAAACGTTTTGCATGGCGTGGAAACAAGTACGTATTCAACGTGCTTTCAACTTCTAATTAATCTCTCTCTTCTATCTACATATTCATATACCTGCAACAATCCCAAACACTGCCAAAACCATACACTAATCCCTCCATGGAAAAACCTGCCCGCACTCCCTCCGCCCCCCACCACGTCACGCCGTTCCCACCATCACCGCTGCTACTCCGTAGTCGAAGCGGTAGTGGCGCTGCCGTGGCAGCTTTAACCACCCCGGAGAGAAGTTCACATAGGTTCAACTCTACCGAAAGATTCACTATCAATAGTATCCAACGTTCGAAGTCAGCATCAAGAGCAAGAACAACCAAAAACAACAACGAAGAAAACAACATTAACCTATGTCCCACGTTAACAACATCCATTTCGAACAAGCAAACAAATACTAGGGTTCTTGAGAAGAAAAGCAGAGATGATAGCTTTGGCAAGAAACGTGGCGTTGACCCTAAAAATAATGTTGAAGCTCCGAAGAAGGCCACATCCCCGATGAAATCACCTTCAGCATGGGCACTTTCTCCAGGAAGATGGTCACTCAGATCTCCGACGTGGTCTCAACCACCGGCCAAAGCAAATGTTAATAGCAACATGAGTGTTGGTGGTGGTGTTAATAAAGTTTTGAAGTATTTCAGGCAAAAGAAAGTGTCACCATTGCAAGAGGAAGAGTACCATCGGTTTAGGATTTTGCAGAATAGACTTCTGCAATGGAGATTTATGAATGCTAGAGCTGACATTGCCATGGCTAATGTCAAGAATATGGCTGAGGTACGTTCTTTCTATCTTTTGCAACCTTTTTTCTTTTTAGATTCTCTTCCATTGACAATTTTGAAAGGCTGTTCTTAAACTAGTTCAAACTATTGATTATTTTTCTGTCTTGTTATACTTTCAGATACAATTGTTTTGTGTGTGGGTTAGAATGGTGAGGTTGAGAAAGAAAAGAATGGAGAAAAGAGTTGAATTAGGAAAGATGAAGCATGTGCTGAAGCTTTATAAAATTGTGAATGGACAACTCCATCTTCTCAATGAATGGTCAGAAGTAGAGAGAAGAAATCAAGAATCTGTTGCCAGATTGGCAAGGAAATTGTCAGCATCCTCCACCATATTGCCTTCAACTCACGTTAAGGTATAGTTACAACGTGTTATCATGTACAAAGAATGAAAATATTTGGACATATGTTTCTTTTATATAAAACTATTTCATTGATTAATTTATGCATAAACTAATTTTAATTTAAAAAAAAACTTATTTTCAAATTAGAATATGTATGGAAAAATGACTATATTTGAAAACCAAAACATAGTTGTCCCTATATTCTACAATACTAAATTATTAGTATAAACTTTATTTTATTCGGTTAGTTAATTAAAAATGATCTTAAAGATGAGTTTTAAAACAATGATTATAAAAATGTAGCAATCTTGTCAATATTGTTATATTAATCATTAGTAATATTTATTTATTTATTATATTTAACAATAAAGTATATTGAGTAAAGGTTAACTTTTTTTCACTGTTAATATATTTAAATAATTTCATTTAATCTCTCAAATTAAATATTTAATAACTAAAATCATAATACACTAAATTTAAGAGATTAACGATTTTTTTTTATTTGAGAAAAAAATAATTTAGCCTAAATGTCACATATTAGAAATAATACACACACAGACATATATATATATATATATATATATATATATATATATATATATATATATATATATATATATATATTAGCATATAAAATAAAAATATTATATTATTAATAATTAATAAATGATGTAGGTACTTTATATTCATTATGTTATTATTGTCTTCACAGGGAGACACAGAATCCATCTTTGAGGCACTGAATTCGGCCATTAAAGTAATGGAGAGTATGGAACCTTTAATCGCAATATACCAGACAAAGGTTATTTTTTTCTTTCTTCTTACAATATTATTGGCTTAGTTTCAAATACCGTAAAATCAATAATTTAAGTTAAAATGTAAAATTGGAAACATATTTATCAAAGTCTAATTGCTTTGAGGAATTAATCTTATTTAATGATATAGGAAAAATTTAATTACAAAATTGTAATAATTAATTAGCATATATGCGTTACATATCGTGAGTAGATAATTAATTATAGGACTGTGTTATTGATTAATTTCAGCAGGTTGAAAGGATTCTTTATCAAATTACAGAACTAACCACAACACTAACACAGGAAGAAGAGTACTTACAAGAACTTCTGAATCTTCTTCCTGTCATTTCTTCTTCATTGGTGAGCCTTGCACCCTTCTTAATTTCTCACAATAAAACAAAATCATCTAAGTTATTTTTTTGTTATATATTAGTATTATGTCTAATTTACTCTTTTATATCAATATGTTACATAATAATTTTGTCGGTTCCACATACTACAGGAGAATGAGAAAAGCATTCAAGTGCACTCTATCCAAACAACAATGAAGTTCAATTCCAGCAACTATCTCCGTAGCATTGCTTAATTGTGCATATTCAGGGACCAACATTTCCTAAGAACTTGTTCAATAGTGCTACAGTTTTGTAACTAAATGGTCATGTTCATACACAACTCTTGTTACATTGATTTATGTTACAAACATGAATCCCCTTTGTTTTCCAAACATGAAACCGATTGGAGAAGGCTAATGTTATACTCATAGGATTTTGTTTCCATGAATCAGAACCACACTTCACAATATGTTATATTTACAATTGGAGGTGAGAGGATGGTTTGTGGTAGACAAAAAAATTTATGAACTTTCAGCACGACTTCATGGAATGCTAAAGGGGTGCAAATGCAGGATATATATTTATTCCGTTACAGGATTATAAAAGATGAAGAAAAAAAGGAAGAAAACGAAACATGGAAGAGAACAAAGAAAAGAAGATGGACCTGTTTGAAGTAAAAAAATAGCTCCATTTTTTACCTTTCATTTCAATCTTTATGCCATGACAGACACATGGAACCACATGAAAGAAAATATGATGTCATTCATTCTAAAGACTAATATGAGCGATCTTAAATTGAGATTCTATTTTTACATTTCTATGCTTTTAAATACCAAGCAGAATTTGTTATATAAGGATTCGAAAGGGTATTCCCTCAATTATCATCTACTCTAGCTAAAGGCCCCAAAGTTTCCATGCTTTACGCAAGAAAGTGGGCAAAAGTCATTGAATTTGTGAACAGAGCATCATCTTTTAATAAATTTATATGGTAATTACTAAATGAAAATACAAGACTAATGGAGTCATGGAATTGAAGAAGCCTAGAATAATTTAATTTAAATTATATGTATGAACGCAATTTAAGTTGACACTACAGAGCAAATGTGTTGTCTATGTGTGACCTACAAGTCCAATGTAACACATGGAACTCAACTCAACGGTGCAAGAAAGTTATTCTCTAGCAGGCAAAATTTCAAACTACATGTCATTCTTTTTTATATTAACCCGGGTAATACCCTATACAGCCTGCAGTTCCAAACCAGTATGCTCATTGCTGTAATCAGAAGATGTTTCAGGATTTTCCTTGCCATGACTAGGCTCCATCTCTTGAATGGGAGGTGCATTTACAATTGTTGTCTCTGAGAAGGCATTGTCAGAGAGCCTTCCCTTCATTTCCCTGTGCTCTTGACACAAGGCACACCAGTGCATGCAGCAGTGTACACAACATGGATCACAAGGTGAGTTCTGCAGCAGAAAAAAAAAAAAAACTAGTGAGAAAATCTCAAAAGCAAAACAATGTTTATGCTATCGGGAAATCATAAAAGCAAAAGGAGAAAAATTTAATAAAATGTTAATTGTGTGTTCGGTTTAACTTATTTGGAGAGAAAAAAAATGCATTTCCTTTTGCCAACTTCGCGAGAGATTTTGAGGAAAAAATGATTATTTGCCTGTAATAATATTTTCCAAACATAAACTACATGTTGCTAGGTAACACAATATAACAAATGCTTTGTAAATACAAAATTTGATCATTCCAGGAAATTATAAAGCAGCCATTATGCTTTTGGCCATATGGTGAACTTGAATAGAGCAGGATTGTTGCCCCCCACCTTTTTGGAGCAAAATAACCACTGAAAAAATAAAATAGATGGCCCTGTTCTACCAAACTGATGTGGATTATGAAGTTGTCTAGCCAGTTAGAAACTAGAAGGATTGTATTTTGAAGAAAGGAAACTGTCAGTGATACTAGACAAGACTAAGAAAACATCATTTCTCAAACTGCGTGGTTGGTTAAAAATTGCTGACAATTGACACTAAAATCATGTCCATAAGGTTTTCATTGTTAGATTACATACCAGCAAGCACATCTTTGTTTCTGTCAACTAATGTTGTTCAAAATATGCATGTAATAAAGTCTTATGTCATCATATATTTGTTCACATGGCAAGGCTTGGGAATAGAACAAAACTCCTACAGAAAGGAAATTGTTTGTAACATCTAATGAATTCTACATTACACATTTGCAATAAGAAGAAGCAATATTTTATCAGCAGATGAACATTTGATATACTGTTCCATCTTTCAAGTTTATTATCCAATTGGAAAGGATATTCAGCACATACCGACAAGTGATACTTCTTCTGTAAGGTTTCCCGAACCTGACCAGTGTAAATTCCACACATCCACCAGGTAAAAAACAAGCCCTCAAAAATGAGAGATGATGTCCCTGGGTCAATATAACCGTTCAAGATCGCAGTTGCAGTTGCCAGAGCAATGCCACCCTCAATAAAAATAGCATGACAAACGCATGGTGCAGTCCAAGGAGTTTCTTCATGCAAGCTTTCTACATTGCGCCCAAATAATACACAAGGACAAAACAGTCCAGTCAAGCCTGCAATGAACGTTAGATAGTATTGCAACCACAAAATTTTCTGCTTACTCATTGCAACTATGAATACTTCTAATATAGCCATTTGAGTGATTCCCCCATATTCTAGTGCTTGGCATTTCACTCTCAACTTAACATATTATTAAATATGATGAGTGGTTAATTTTAGTCTCACATGCAATAATTTGACTAGTTCAATATAGATAACAAAAAACGACCTGACTCAACCAAAATTTGACAGCTTGGTCATGCCTAACTTACAACTTTCCCCATCTTCAGCGCATCCAAAGATCCCAGTCATCCAAGCTTCATCAGCAGGAGGCGAATAGCTTTCAGGTAATGGCTGCCCACATTCTATGCACTTGTGAACAGCCAACTGCAAAGGACTAAAAACCATGAGTAAATTATTTACTAACTTGTATTAAAACTCACCAAACAAAGCACAGGCAAAATATTTTCAAATTTTAATTTTTTGCCTTTTGTAATGATACAACAGATTTGACAAGGTTGCACATTGGCTGCCAATGTCCAAACACAACCCTTTTTCCCTAGGATAAGATTGAAAAGGAATACTTAACCTTGTTTGGAACTGTAAAATTTTAGAATTTCAAACTGTCACAGTCCCAATTATAGATTTTAGTTTAGGACCTTGTTTCAATTTCAATTGGTAAAAGTGTCATATCAGTAATTCAAAAACATGCAAAAACTCACATAACCAAGTCAAACTATATACCAATTTACTTCAGAATTCATGTTCCCACCTATTTAGGGGCATTTAACGAATCAGCACATATGACATAACAACTTATGGTAAAGAAAATATAAACTGAGTATATGACATTTTTTATCAAGCAATCTACAACCTAATCTCCCCACCCAAATTCACACTCTATCTGTACAAATGCAAACCCAAACAACATTAGACCACTTTGCTGCTTTCTTTATTCACACAACTAGAATTTATGAATAAACAAAACTACATTCAGATTGCACCAAAAAACCCTTCAACAAGGTTTTCTCATAAATATTCAAATTGAGAGATTTAAAAAAAAAAAGTTTGTTAGTTCAATTTTTCAGCCAAAATATCAAGATTTCTGTGGTCTGTTTGATCACAATTGTGACTACACCGACCCACATTAACAAGGTTTTCTCGTGAATATCTCTCTATTAGAGATTTAAATAAGGATGTGCTCCGAGGTATAAACATCCAAGGTTTTTAGTGTGCCCACAACCACAATTTCAAGTACATCAACCCACATTGTCTACAATTTCCCAAAATATTGAGGATCTTGACCAAATCAAGACATGAACCGCAATTTAAAATCCTGACATTGTCAATTATACAAATCAGACAACAACCCAGAATCTAAATAAAATACAAAATTAATACATGAAATTCAAGAAAAAAAAAAGGTGGATATGAATCCAAACCTGAGGGACCTCGATTGGCTGATTCAGTTCACCAGGCGTTATATCTTCCACAGGACCATGATCCTTTGTCAGTTTCACGTAATGCGATTGTGCCCTTTCGCCCATCTTATCTCACAAATCAAACCAAACCAACAAAGAACAATGAATCAGAGGAAATATTCACATAAGATCTAAGAAAATTGGCATGAGAATAATTACCTTAGCGAGGAAGTGAAGAGAAACAAACACCAAGAGAATTAATCAAGAGTTGTTTATTTATTGTTTTAATTGTATATTTTGTAACTCAACCATATTCCAAATTTTATTACCTTAATCTTTTCATAGCATATGTTCTTATCATAATTTTATCTTCTGTATACTTAATTATTTATTAAATATGTAATAATTTAATTTATTGGCTAAAACAAAAATTAAAAACTCATCTCATGCTAACTTAAATCATCCTTGTTGAAAACTATAAATCATTTATAAGATAAACAAAAATTATGGTATAATTTTTTTCACATAAACTGGAGACACTTTAGATAATTTGTTTTAATTATTTAGTTTCTATTTTACTATTTAATAAATAACATTAATTAACGAATGTTTAAATAGGTAGTGTTTCTTTAAGCTTGTTTTATAATATATTAAGGACAATAGATCTTAATAATTTCAGTATTGAGTTAGTGAAATGCATAACATTCATTTAATGCCTATTTTAAATTTATATATTAAATTTTAATTTTATATTTTAAAATATTTAGTTTTTATTATTTTTAAATAATTAATTTTAAAAGAAAATAATATTTAATAATTAAAAAAATGGTTGAAAATCATGCATTCATTTATTACATTTTTTAATTTTCAAAAAATTAATAATTTAATTCTATTATTTAATTTTTAAAATAATTAAAATAAAATAACAGTTTCACCACTAAATAATTCTCATTTACTTAATTATATTAATTAACAAGTCATGTAATAGTTAATAAGTTTTTCATCCACTTTTTATAAATTTTTATTTTCATTTATTGTTAAGTATTGGGAGACAGTATAATGAATTTAAGAGTAATAATAAATGTGTATTCAAATTTTGTACATTTATATATTTTTTTATTATCTATTCATTCATTGTTTTTATTTTATTTTATTTTTTTGAAAATAATTAAAGCAGAATAAAATATTATTTTTTATGATGAAAAAGTTTAAATATATATTCATTTATATTTATGAAATTATTTTTTAAAGTAATAATATCACAAGTACAAAATAAATAAAAAATTATTTTATTATTTTAATTAATATAAAAAAATTAGAGATGTTTTTTAATCTAAATATTGTTATTGTTTAATAGCCTATTAAAAAAATCTATATTTTCAGTTATTAATGTATTTTATTTTCAACCATTATTATATGTGCTTTTAAATTTTAATTTTATTAATTAATAAATCTTTTAAAAGTTTAAAATATAATTGTGAAAAAAGTGTGACAATAAAAAATTTAGTTTTTCATGCTATTTTATAAATATGGACGGTGCTGTGATAGTTGATACATGTAACTTGTGTTGATTGTATTTTAAATTTTTATAATTATAATATGAAAAATTTAAAATATAATTAAATCAAATAATATATAGAAGAGAGATGGAAGAGAAAGAAAGGATTTGACTTTAAAAGCACTCATATATAATTGTGTTATTATTAACTCATTATTTATTATATTATAATATTTACTAAAATATTAAGATAATGATATTTTTTTATATGAGTTTGAAGTCTAAAATAGGATCTTTCACTGATTGAATGAGAGATTACTTAATTGAAAAGTGATTAAATCTATAATTCTTTTGTTTTAAATCTCAAATCTATTAAAAATAAATAAATGACATATTATCATTTATATAAAAAATATATTATTTTTTTATTTTCAATATTTACATTTTTATCTACCCATAATATTTCATTTGATATTTATACAAGAAATCACAAAATATATAATTTATCATTATTTTTATTATTATAATTTTAGATATTAAAAGAATATATCCTCATCTAAAGTGATAAATTGATAGTTTTAATTTGTCTCGTATAATCATTAACCCAACTTAAGACTGAATAAAATAGGATTCATTTAAAAAATATTTATATATTAAAATTAAAATTAAATAAAAAATTATAATTATAATTTTTATAAATATATTATAATAATATAATTTAAATTATAAATATTAAATGATTAAGTTTAAGTTATTAATTATAATGAAATATTTTAATACATATTTATTATTATTTTTCAATTTATTTAATAAACATATTATTTAATAAATAAAAACTTAAAAGATTTTCATATAATTAAAAATATTTTTAAAATTATATAAAAAAATATATTAACGATGACTCATTTAACTTTTATTATGTAACTTGTTATATTCTATTTTTTTTACTGATTAAAAATGGATATAAGCAAAATGGAATGTGAGGTTCCATTTTATCATCTACCATCATTTAAAAAAAATACCTTAATTTAAAATAAAATAAAATAATACGATTGTTTTCAAAGAGTGCATGATAAAATTATGAAAAAGTGAGAAAATCAGTAATTCAATCGATAAAAAGTTGTTCAATTCCATTGAATTCATAATAATTTGATAATTTTTACTCCCATCTAGCCTATTTTATGAGCTTCTTAAAAGTACATAGAATAAACTCATTTTAAAAGTATACGCTTCTGAAATATAATATTTTTTACTTATTTATAATCATTTTTATTTTATATTTTTTTTATCATTTGGTGACCTTCTATAATGTTTTTATGTTTTTTTTTCCTTTATCTTTATGTGCAATAAATAAAAATTTAAAATTTATCATTGTTATTATCAATTATGAAAGATTGATCCCACAGCTAAAAATTATTCTACAATAAATGCAAAAGGAAAACGACATGAATTATAGGAAAAGAAAATTGTGCCAACTAAATGGTGGAGACTAGTGGAGTGATGGAAAAGATTAAAAAAGTGGACAAAGTCAATAAGTCAATTCCACGCGCATTGCCAAGGCAACATCATTGAAGAGTGTCATTTGGTGCGAAAGTCTCTTTGGAATTTCCAATTCCTTTGCTCTTCTTAAACTTCAACTCTTGCATTGCTCATACCAATTTCCTTCAACATGTCTACACCAGCAGAGTACTTTCTTTTTTTCCCTTTTTCAAATTCTCTTTCTCCTAACACACAAACACGAAGAATTTCCTTTTGTTTCACATGACATATTCATGGTCAACTCAGCTTCTATGTTTTTCTATTCTGCTATATTTTATTCACAGGCTTAAGATTTCATCACACTCATCTTAATTATGTTTATTTTTTTATCCATGATGGCTTCATATTAGTTCTAGCTTACGAAAGTAATGTTGGTACCAATCATTTTTTTGAGAAAATAATGGATTTCTCTCTAAGACAAGTAATTGATTAGAATTCTCTCTCTCTCTCTCTCTGCTTTTTCAGATACTATCGATCTCTACCACCTGTGAGCAAGACCTATGGAGTGGCCTGTTTGATGACCACTGCTGCTTATTATTGGAATCTTTATGATGCATGGAACATATCACTTGATTATGGCCTAGTCTTTAAACGATTCCAGGTTTGTAATTCAAAAACTCTTCTGAATTCTCATCTGTAGCAATAGAATATCAGAATTTAGTTTAATTAGTATGCACTGTTGTCATGTAAACATGTTTGCTAACTTCTGTAGTAATTACTTTAAAAGTCACACATAAAATGGTTTTTGAATATTTGACAGATAAAAAATCTTTAAAGTGGTGGTGTATAAAAATTAAAATCTAAATGTTTATGCATGAATCGATACCATCTCAGAGTTATTTTGGATACACTTCTCATTTTCAACAAGCACTTACATTTAATATAAAACAAAAACAAACACTTATATAATAACAAGATAAAATGAATCAAGGAGGTAAACTGTATTAAGCTAAGATAAAACTAATCAACAATACCATGGAGAAGTTAAACAAGGTAACCTTAGAAAATTTTAGATTTGTAAATTGATTTGAACTTATCAGAAATGTGTTTGCATGACTTTTGTTGAATTTTTAGTTATAAGCACTTAGTAGCTGGTGAAATAAAGAAGAATAAGATCTGTCAATTTGGATAAACTTTTCACCAAATTGCTTTATATCTGTTGTAGGTTTGGAGGATTATCACAAATTTCTTCTTTCTTGGCCCGTTCTCAGTATCATTTGCAATGCGTCTGATAATGATGTAAGCTACTCATGAAACTTCTTACACCTCATTCTGCTTTTCCCTCTGATAAATAATGATCAAAGCCATTAATCCCTCATTGTAAGATAGTTTAAATTATGAAGTTGTTTATTGTTGTTTGAATGTTGAACTTTGTAGAGCAAAGTATGGTGTTTCATTGGAAAGAGGACCCTTTGACAAGAGAACTGCAGATTATGTTTGGATGTTCATATTTGGTGCACTCTCTCTTCTGGTATGTGTCACTGTTTATATAACTTTTCATCTGTTGATTTTCAGTTCTACATGCTTGATGATTTTACTGCTTAGTTTCCACTTGAATTTCCTTCCACAATGTTTTGTTCCTCTCCTCTTCCATTGACATCCACTTGCACATTGTATGTTTTGAACACAAACAACATTTGAATATGTTTTATCCTCTTCTCTAAGGTGATTTCAGCAGTGCCATATCTTCGGTATCCATTCATGGGAATTTCGTTAGTTTTCATGATCGTTTATGTTTGGAGCCGCGAGTTTCCAAACGCACGAATCAACATCTATGGTGTCGTATCATTGAAGGTATATTCAATTCCATTGTTCTATGAGAAAATTTATATTTGATTCCGTACACCTATTGGAATCCAATAATCGATAATATATATATATATATATATATATATATATATTTCTCTCTTAATCTATCTGATATAATTAAAAAATATTTATATATTTAATATCAGGTCAAAAATATAATCTCCTTTCACTTGTATTCCTATTTTTCGATTAAAAAATTATGTTTTGATATAATCTTTGTCACTCACATTCGAAATATATTTAAAGTTTTTTGAATTATCAGCACCTCTTCCAAACATCTTTTATATAATATTGTATTTTTAATATTAAAACATTAAAATATATTTTTTAATATTAAAAAATTAAAAAAAATTATATATTTTAAATTATATTTGTAAAATTTTTTTATGTTTCGATGACACTCTGATACGAAATATATTTCAAGTTTAATGTCTTTTTCTTCAACATATTTGAAAAATCATAACTCTTAATAACGTGTTATTGCTCTGTATTGTGCCGTGAATTATCAGCACCCTCTCCCAAACATTTTGCAAGGTAACTTTTATATGCATATTGTATTTTTAATATTAAAAAATTAAAATATTTTTTTTTATCTTTTAGACTATATTTGTAAACATATTTAAGTTTTATCTATTTATTATTATTTCTTTTTTATAATGAAAATAATTGTATCTTTTCTCAAAAAAGATATATTCGAGTGTCATGAATCTCTTTTCTACAAATTCTTTTTCTAAAAAAATATTATTTTCTAAAAAATTTGAGATGCTATAAATATATTTATAATCAAGTCACTTTATTAGTTTATATCCTCTATATTAATTTTATTATAATTATTTGAGTTAAAGAATATATATTATCAACATTTGTAAAAAAAGAAAAAAACTTGACATTATAAATAAACTATCAACAACATAAATTTCAAAACATCTCAATAAATAATTTTTCTTTTTATCATTTTTCTTCCTATATATTTTTCCCTTAACTTGGGTCTAATTTATAGTTTTTAGTGCAATAAAAGTTGGTAGAAATTTGTTTTCTTGACAATAAGCATTTGTAAATAACAATACAATAATTCTTTTTTCTTACTTTCTAACATTGCAAACTAATTCTTCTTCAACAATTGTTAACTACTATTTTTATAGAAGATGATAAGGTGAGAAACATAGAATTCAGTGACTTAGGCAAGTAAAGTGAGTCATATTATGAGAACTTTGTGCTAAAACTATTATACTTTAACCATTGATAAACTGTTCATCCTTTATTAATATATATTTTTTTGTGTGTGTGCAGGGATTTTACCTTCCATGGGCTTTGCTAGGTCTGGATTTAATATTTGGAAGTCCTATAAAACCAGACATTGTAGGTATGGTCGCAGGGCACTTGTATTACTTCTTAACAGTGCTTCATCCTCTTGCTGGGGGAAAGTTCAAATTCAAAACCCCTCTCTGGGTGTATCCTTTTTCTTATCATCAGGTTCTTATTCATGGACATTAAGATTAGATAAGTTGCTTTTATTTCAACACTATTCACATTCCATTTTAAAAATATTATCTGTTTGAAAATTCTAGTTCATGAATTGTTACATTTAAGATATTATCTGCTTTGAAATTTTATTCTCCGAAGTTCCATGGCATGTTGAAACAAGTTGTAATCCTTAAGTATGTACCATATACCAGTCAGAAAATAGTAGCATATTGGGGAGAGGGTACACAGATAAATTCTCCAGTGCAATCTAATCCATCAGCTGGAATTGTCTTTAAAGGAAGAAGTCATCGTCTTGGAGGGACTGAAAGAAGCACAGCAAGAGACAGTGAAGAGCAAACTGAAGGGAATGCTTCATCTTCTTCTTCTTCTTCCTCCCCTCAACAACACAGTCAAAGTAATGGAGTTGCTTTCCGAGGAAAGAGTTATCGTTTAAATGAATGACTTTGAAACATGATTTGTCTAGGTATGTGTATGAATATGGCTCTCTTTTTCTGTAATTTTTATTTCACCATTTGGTATGTGTTATGCCTTCTATCTTAATATGAACATTGCAAGGGCTATTCACATGTTAGTAGTAATTACGTTTTTCTTCCATCTCCACCATAATTTATCTCTTAATTTTCTGGTCAACTTTCACATTAGTGTCTCTTAATTAATTGCCAACTGTTTATAATATATCTTCCTGTGTATATGACTTATATAGACTTTTGATTGCGTCTTCAAATGAGTGTTAATCGTCTTTATTAACATAATTAAGCATATTATTATTTCCTTTATGAGTATGTTTATTACTAAAGAAAATAAATAATTAAATATTTCTTCAATTATAAAACTATTCATATAATTATTAATTGATTTATTTTTATTAATAACTTAATTTTTTTAAATAATACATTTTAATCAATATCTATTTTTTAATGATATATACTTCCATATATAATTATTTCAAAAATACTTATATTAAATTTAAATAAATTGACTAATTATCATCATCATTCTATATTCTATTATTATTATTATTATTATTATTATTATTGAATAAAGAGAAAAATAAAATAAAAATATTTCAGAATAAAAAAATCTGTAGATTGGGAATGATATATTTATGTGCTTCATTTATATTTTAATGTAGAAACAATATAATAAGTTTTAATTTATTTTAGATTTATAATTTAAACATAAAGACGTGGTTAACTACCAACTAATTCTTTGTTTGAAATTTGGACATTAATGTTTTGTTTATATTGGTTGTCAAAAAATAATAGTTGTTAAAGGATATACAAAATTGTTTTCAAATAAAAGTAGTGTCTTTTCACTTTTCATTTCACAACAAACACTTTTATGATCCTCCTACGAGCTCAAAAGTATGAAAAAAGTTGCTGATTTTTATGTTTTTTAATTGATCATAGAAACTTCCTAGCACAAAAAGCAAGAACAAAGTAAGTTGGATTATTTAATTGGAATTTTGTGGTGTAAGCAATAAAAGTCAACGTAACTGGGTTTTGTTTGGTAGGTCACTTCTAACCATTTTCTTTTATTATTTTTTATGCCATTTCACGAATCACATAAAGAAAACGAAGAAGGGACGAAATATGTCTTTGTGGTGCGAATCAAGATTAAGATATAACCTAAAAACTTGTCTTAAAAAAAAAGACCCACTTCAACAAGTTGAAAAATTGACAAAAAGAATAATAATAAAAAAAACAATTTATTTAACATAAGGTTTATTATTTAAAATGAATGGATTATTCGTAATTTTAATAATTTAACTATTTGTGTAACGGTGAGGACCATATCAACTAGCGGGGTCGATTTCAAAAGCTAAATTAGTCGAAAATTATGAGAAGTCAGAAACTAAATTTTCTTGGTTTTTTACACCGTATCATAGACCAAATAAATTGACTTAAAATTTAAATGATTTACTTGTACATGATTCCGAATATTCCTTTTAACACGTCCAATAGTTTTGGGACTTAGCACATGACAAAAAATAACTCTATTATTAAACCAAAGTGTTACTATTACATCTCTCATTTTCCTGGTGTAAACTAAAACAACATGTCTGAGGCGGCTAGTGCTTTTGACTAATCGCCGTTTCAGTGGTTTGCGTTGAAAATTGAAATGAAAATGCTTTCAAAAAACTCATAGCAGATGAACCTTTTTGTATTGTTGGTAATTGTTGAACTGATTAATTGCATGAACAAAAACCTGATCATGACAGTGACATTTTTCTTGGTAAGGTGGACACTGCCTGAAGGCATGGTTAGGTTGATGCATTTAATTTAAGACAAACTGTGATGGGACCATGAATTTCTGTGATTCACGTTATTTGTTCTTTTACGCGTGAGACAAACCTGTAACAAACTTGGGGTGCCCATGTGGTGTTCTTGTTTGAAACTTGGAATGGTTTCGTATTGGAGAAAAGTGATGGGAGTATCCTCTTTACCAACAAGGATTTCAAGCTCTTCATAGTTTCAACATTCAACTAAGCTGGTGTTTGATTGGTTAGTTAAAAATATTCTATGGTGTTACTTTTTGTTTTGTTTTGTTTGTTTACAATTTTGTTTTGTGTATTAAGCATATGGATTTCTGAATTTTTCTTACTCTCTCTGTCTTCTCTGTTCTGTCCATGTAGTTGGATCTTTGAAATTTTCTTTCATTTAAAGTTGATAATTGTACACTAGGTTCTTTCTGGGGCTTGTTTACAAAGATGGAAATTTGGGGATTAGGTTTTTGGCTCATGCATTTAGAGAAGAAGTTTGTCCTCATGAAATTCAGAAATTCAATTGTTTGAATTTGAAGTTTAAAACCCCTGTCCTTGATTTATCAGGTTATTTGTCAAAATAATGAGATTTTTTTTTTCCTTTAAAAAAGTTCCTACTATACTCATTTCTTCATATGTTTCTAAGGCTTCATTGTATTGAGAAGTTCCAGGTTGTGTGCCTCAACCCTTGGAATATATCTTATATATCTATTGGACATATATACATGTAGTGTAGGAGCATCAGCTAAGATAAAATGTACTTGGATAAACTTCTCCATAAACATTTCTAATAGAAGAAAGATAGGAAAATGAAATAAGCTTCTGGATAAAGTGAAAACTAACATATACACAAGTTTAAAATAAGTTTTTAGATAATCTAGCTTCTATAAATTAACTTATACATAGCTAATTTTGTCTTTTGAAAAGACTTAGTTCATTTTTTTTTCTTTATTTTGTTTATTTGAAGAAGTTTATTCTAATAAGCCCTGAATTTGGTTTGAGAAATTTGTGTTGCAAGTGTTTTAATATGAAGTTGTTACTTCAAGTGCCAACAAGTAACTCGATATTCTGATAGGACATTCATTTTTGTTGTTGTTAATTTTCGTGTGTTGCAGATAAACTTTCTTCTTTGTAGGGAAGAGAAATGGACATGATTCTGGAGGCAGATGCAAAAAATGTATCTCAGCATTCCTCGTCTTCTTCGGTTGTTGCTCTGGCAATCAAGGGTAACAAAAAAAGCAAATATGTGGTACAATGGGCACTTAATAAGTTTGTTCCTGAGGGAATGATTATCTTCAAGCTGATACATGTCCATGCTGGTATAAAAGGAGTTCCAACGCCAAGTAATATATTTTTATGTTAAATGTGTTCAATGAAGTATCAACTTTATGCATATATTACATTTACAAACTTCTAGATGTAATGATATTCTGAAGAAGTTGGTCTGGTCCATTTGTAAAGCGATCAAGCACTATCCAATTAGCAGTCTTGCATTGTCCTCTCAAAGTTAAGCAATTTTCATATCTGCATTACTTTTGTCAACATGACAAAACTTTAGAACATAATTTTAGGCCATGCATCTTATTATGTTTTCTTTTTAATATTGAAAAGTTTTCAGCAGGTGAAGATTAGTAGTTATGTGGCTTTGTTATATAAGTATTTTGATTATACACGAGACATGTAATGTGGTAGGTGGTTATGTATGAGTTAGCAGAAGATTGTTTCATTAGAATAATATAACATTTTTGTATTTCCAGTGGGAAATGTGGTCCCTCTTTCACAAGTGCGCAGTGATGTAGCAACTGCATTCAAAAAGGAAGTGGAGTGGCAAGCAAACCAAATGCTGCTACCTTTCAAGAGAATGTGTGAGAAAAGAAAGGTCAGATACGATTGATCATGGAGATTAATCAGAATTATTAATGCAATATAGGGTTTATATTCTTATATTGTTGGTGCAGGTGCATGTGGATGTTGTAGTGATTGAATCAGATGATGTGGCTATTGCAATAGCAGAGGAAGTGGCTAAGGGTGCTATAACCAAACTTGTTGTTGGAGCTTCATCTCGTGGCATATTTAAAAGGTATTTATTGAAATGCTGATGTATAGTTCAACAAGCTAGTGGTTCTTAAGGACCTTTGTTTAACAATTAAAAGAAAGTACTTACATAATGAATAAACAAATAAATAATCATTCTACCTTTTATTTTAGGAAAAATCATACCATCTAGACACCATACTGAAGAACTAGTTAGTAATCTGATAAGTGCCCAAAGAAGAAGAACCAAACACTTAATTACACATGAAGTCAATGAATTGTATGTTGGGATTTAGGAGGACCATTGTGTTTACTATTAATTACTATTTTTTTTGGCCTATCACAAATTGTACTTCATTTTTGTTTTTTTAGCTTATTCTTTTTAAATATGAAAAAACTTGGCTTCATTTTCTGAACCTAATATTTTCAATTGGAAATAAGAATTTGAGAGTTATAAGTAGAAGGGAAGTGATACAAGGACTAGATTATAACAATTGAAGAAATTCAGATTGTCTGTAGGACGGTTTTCTTTTTTTTTTTTTTTTGGTCTCCTGTAAGATGACTTAATGGCCAAATAGATTTATAACAGAACCTAAAAGTTATATTTTTATCAACCTTTGTTCATAATATGAAGAAGCATGGAAGCAACAAAATTTTGTTGCAAACTGGTTTTAGTGGCAATGTTATGCTGAGAAAAAGTTACCACTTCTATTCTAACATTGGATGAATATTTTGTTAACAATTTTTAACTTTGTTGACATATTAAGAAGAGTCCTTTCTTCTTGTTTCTTTGTAGTTTTCCTGGACAACTCAGAAGAACTTCAACTTCATTGATAATATTCATGTTAAAAAACATTTCTCTGCCTCTCTTAATACTTAGTGTGTAGGATGATTTTGTTCAATATATTAAGATATAGAGCATGGTATATTTATGGATTTTTAAATAAAAGTAAATGCTAAGACTGGTATATTTTAAAGTTTGTATGAGTACATAATGTTTCATTTCAACCAACCATCTTGTGGTCTCTATCTGATTATATTCCTCCTTTTACTACTGCATTGTTTTCAGTAAACAGAAGGGTATGTCTACAAAAATATCAGTAAGCACTCCAAGATTTTGCACAATTTATGTTATTTCAAAGGGAAAATTGTCCGTAAGACAATCGGACATGCCGATTGCTGGAAGCATTATAGACGATGCTAGTGAAACCAGTTTGTCTTCCAGCAACTCATCAAACTACGCTTCCACCTCTCAGACAGGTATGCTACTAATAGTAACTTCTGCAAAACTATGATTTAGAAATTTGTTTACCCTAACTAAGTGTTGACAGCATATTTAAATTCTTAAATTGCTATCATCACGTCTGCATAGGTACTTATCCGATACCTGAAATTTTCTAATTCAAGATTCTTGTGTCGCAGCATTGTTAGTACATAGATAGGCACCTGCTCATATATATTCCTGTAAATGGTAGACATACACATTATTCTTCAAATGATAATTTCCCAAGCACTTTCTCCTGGGTTATTAGAAATAAGGAAATATAAAAAGAAATCATCTATACTTCAACTATGACACTATTTTACGAGTTCTACGGTGAGATTTAATGTTCACTTTACTCACTTAGATTGGAAATGAAGTTAACACTGTAGAATGCTTGATTTTAAAGATATGTTTACTCTTCTCTGAATTCTAGCCTGTGGTGCATCACGGAAAACATCAAAATTTACTACCCCTGTAGAGTATAATTAATTAATATCACTTTTGGATGTGTACAGAATCTGCCTCAGTTTCATCATATGCTGGTTTACACTCGTCTTCCCTAGCAACACAACGATTTCAAGCTCTTTCAAGTATAAATAGTGCCCTTCTAAGCACAAATTCGAGTTTAACTGACACTAACCATTCTAGAGGCCAATCTCTAGATCTTGGGAGAGAAAATACTGCTACAAGCTCTGCAAGAAACTCTGACATTGATCATGCCTTAAGTCGAGTTTCTAGTTGCAAAAGCTTTATTTCAGATACTGAAACTTGGATTTATGATCAAAATTCTAGCAAGGATGTGCCACTAGCAACTACACTTCCATCTCCTAATAGGCAGGTAATTGAAATTTCTTTCATCTGGCTTGATGAAATGGTATTTATTTATTTCCAACTCATACATCAGTTGATGGTACCTTCTTGGAAAATGTAGACATATTTATACTTGTGTTGTGATATGAGTTAAACATTGGGGGTAAAGAATTCGTCACTTTTTTGGTTTTCATTGTATCCTAAATTTGACAAGTCTGCAGCAACAAAAAATTTTCATCTTGACTATAACCATAGTGTTTCATGCAAATGCAAAACTACAAATATGTTTAACCCATGTATGTTGTGCCCAATCTTAATTTTGATTAATATGCAATCCTTCGTAGAAAACTAGTTGTAGCTTGTCATACAGCTATTGCTTCAGCAAATTCCAGTTAGATACAACTCCAATTTGTCAGTGAACTTTCTGTGGTCATTTATTTTATCAGGCAAAATTTAACCTTGAGCTGGAAAAGTTGAGAATTGAACTAAGGCATGCCCAAGGACTGCATGCAGTTGCTCAAAGTGAGAAAATTGAAGCATCCCGAAAGGTAATATCTATTTTCTTATCGCCAGAAACACTTTCTTCTACCTAAGAACCCGGCACCTTGGGATACCTGATTTGTTTCCTTGTTAGGATCTCTTTCTTTGCCTTAGCATCCATAAAGATACATTACCCTATTTTAGCATTTAGAAGATGAATGCACCTTTCCATATGCCTGCAAATAAAATCTTTGCCAGAATTGTCAAATGGATTTACATCCTTTATTGCTTTAAACAGCTGAATGACCTAAGCAAGAGACGGGCAGAAGAAACCATGAAAATGAAGGAGATTATTGCTAGGGAAGAGAAGGCAAAGGAATTAGCAAAACTAGAAAGAGAGAAATATCAGGAAGCATCCAGAGAAGCTGTATATTTGAAAGAATGTGCTGAAAGAGAGGCAGCAGAAAGGAAAGAAACAGAGTTGAAAGCCATTCGTGCTGCAAAAGATAAAGAAAAGTTGGAGGATGCTCTAAGTGGTACAATGCTGCAGTACCGGAAGTTTACATGGGATGAAATAGTCTCAGCTACTTCATCTTTCTCTGAAGATCTGAGAATTGGAATGGGAGCATATGGAATAGTATACAAGTGCAATTTGTATCATACAACTGTTGCCGTTAAAGTTCTCCGCACGAATGGAAACCTCAAAAGCAAGCAATTCCAACAGGAGGTATGAAAGTTATACAAAATAAAATGGATATGCAAATGGGATAAAAGAATAAGTATATAGTGGTTCATTGCTGTAGATGTCTCTAGCATTTTCAAAGGCAAGTTTTTATTTTCTCATTTGATATATTAAAGTTTGTAATCCTAATCAAATATGATGGTTTCTTGTTGAATTGACTAATAGTGTTTTTAAGATTAACCATTCTGCTTTAAATATTTCTCCCTTTAAGAAAATTGGTTTATATATTATTGTTTTCTTTCGTTATTCTTTACAAGACAACTACTAATTCAGTCAAGTTGGTGGATGCTGTTGTAGAAAAATAGTATTCAATGTACTTGGGACATAATATCTTCATGTATTATGTTTGTTTGCATTTAGTGTTCATGGATATTAGCATCCACGGAGTTGAATCACTTATTATAATCATAGGGAATTTTCTCCACTACGTCTATTCTTAAGAAAATGATTTAAGTGTCTAATTCAACCATACAAAATCGACTTGTAAAATGAAGAGAATTAACTCCATTTATATATTATATTTTGAAACTATCTCTAGTTAGATCTGAGATTTGGGTTTTTTTCCAATATCTATCAAGAGATTATATTTATATATATGGACAAAACTTAGATACAGTTCCGTAAGTGTGATTTGTTTTGTTTCTCAATCAGAATTAGAGCTTCACCTTGGTAGGATAGTTGACTTAATGAAAATATGTTACATGGATTTATCAAAGTGAAACTCTAATTTTGATAGAAAAACAACACTAAAATACCTAATGAACTGCAATATGTGTAGTCATCTATGTTAGAGAGTTTGAGAAGAGTAAATCTAAAACGAACAACCAAATAAGTTGTTGGTTTGAGTGGCATCCCACAACAAGATTCTCTTTTCTCTTTCTTTAAGTCTCCCCTCTAAATTCAGCAGAGGAATTACAAGTTTTATGCATTTTCTAATTTCCAGCACACCTTATTTGACAAAATTTAACGATGATTATTGCAAATAATTATTAGACTGGAACTGAACCAGACCACAGTATTGATTTATATCTTTTCTTTTCTTCCAGTTAGAGATATTGAGTAAAATTCGTCATCCAAACTTGCTTCTTCTTCTTGGTGCATGTCCTGATCATGGATGTCTTGTATATGAATATATGGAGAATGGTAACTTGGAGGACAGACTGCTTAGGAAAAACAACACTGCCCCGATCCCATGGTTTGGGAGGTTTCGAATAGCTTGGGAAATCGCATCAGCTCTTGCCTTTCTTCACAGCTCAAAGCCAGAACCTATCATTCATCGTGACTTAAAACCGGCAAACATCTTGCTAGGTCGTAACCTTGTTAGCAAAATTGGTGACATTGGCCTTTCTACAGTACTCCAGTCAGATAATTTATCTACCATGTACAAGGACACAGCACCTGTTGGGACACTCTGCTACATTGATCCTGAATATCAAAGGACCGGGTTAATATCTCCAAAATCTGATGTTTATGCTTTTGGAATGGTGATATTACAGTTATTGACAGCAAAACCAGCAATAGCACTTGCTCATAAGGTTGAAACAGCAATTGATGGTGGGAATTTGACAGATATATTGGATCCAGAGGCAGGGGCTTGGCCTTTTCAAGAAACACTAGATTTGGCTTTGTTAGGAATGAGCTGTGCAGAACTTAGGCGTAGAGACCGGCCTGATTTAAAAGATCAAGTTCTTCCAACGCTTGAGAGATTGAAAGAAGTTGCTGATAGAGCCCAACATTCTGCTTCAACTGTTATTATTAAATCCAAACCTCCTAATCACTTTATCTGTCCAATACTTCAGGTAATTAAATACTCCATAGTGACAGTGTATTGATTTCTATGCCACAATAATAAAATGTATAACCTACTCATTTGGATAAAGATATTTTACATTCTAGTAACAACAAAAATAACAACCAACCCAACCTTTTTGCTCTTGATGTGGTTGGATACGTTGATAAAAACATGTCATAATGTTACATCAGGTCTTAATTACTTATTTGGTTCTTATACTTGTTTTTTTAACATTTTAGCATGTATACCTAAAAACTTAAATGTTTTGGTTCGTACATATACACTTTTAGTTCTGTTTTGATCTCTCATGTTAAGTATGTCCTAATTCCTTTAGGTAAAAAACACCACAAATTTTATAGCGCCTGTTAAAATCCCTCCAAAAATTGTTACTTTAGCAACAAATTTTTGTAGCAGTACGACATTTTCAACATCTATTTGTGACAGTTTGACCTAACAGTGTTAAGACACATTTAATGGCATGGAGTAAATCAAAACTAGGTGTACATATGTAGAGACTGAAAAAGTCAAGTTTCTAGGTATATAGACCAAAGATAAAAACCGTACAAGTATTTGGACCGTATGAGTATGTAAAGCATTCCATATGTACAACCTTTTTAATGATTTCACCTGTAGTTTTTCATGGTCTCCTATAGATTCTGGGAAAGGCCTTGATAAAAACATAAAGAACATTCTGTACATGTTAACAAGTTAATATCATAGCTTGAGCTATATTTTGTTATCCAACTGTCTTGTCAATGTCCTTGAAGATGTCTGTTCTACTTTGTGTGATGCAGGATGTGATGGATGATCCTTGTGTTGCTGCTGATGGATATACATATGATCGCAAAGCAATTGAAAAATGGCTTGAAGAGAACGACAAATCACCAATGACAAACATGGTTTTGCCTCACAAGCATTTAATTCCTAATTACACACTTTTGTCAGCAATCTTGGAGTGGAAGTCCGGAGAATCATGATATCAGCAGCTTTGCCTTTCTCCATGTTGATATTAAGACCACTATTTCTCTGATTTAGGATTCTTAGAAAGTGAGTAGGTATGACATGTAGCAGTAGTGTCTTGGATGCAGATACCTTTTGTAGTTGTACCATCCCAGATTAATTTAGGTAGATTGATTTTCAAGTGTAGATAAGATTAATTTGATTCTATTGTCTGATTCTGTGTATACTTACATGTGTCAATATTGTTCTTAGTAATAGCATAAATAAAATAAGAATCATATTTTTTTGTAGACCACAAGGTACTAAAAGATAAACAATCTTGTTTGAGTTGGATAAGATTATTATAAACGACAAAGAACTCCTTTCAAATATTTAACATAGTTAGATACGTAGGATTCAAACTCAAATATTGTTTAATCAGAAATAATAGTTCATCCATGTTGGTTGATTATAAGAACCATTCGTTACACTCAAGGCAAGCTAAAGCTAAAAATTTTATGTTCTTGGTCAATCCAAAAGATAAAAAGAAGAGTGCAAGTGATTTATTAAATACAAGATGCAAATGTTCAAACTACTTTCAATATGTAGACAATGCAAGATCCAAAATATTTAGCCATGACAGATTAAATTATACAATACTGTCCGTGACCTTACTATCACTATTCTTATTGTTTAAAATAAATTCAACTATATGTTTAATCTTTGAATTTGAAATGAATTTAGATTTACTCCAGATTTTGAAAAAAATAATAAATTTTAGTCAAGTGTGAAAAGATGTATTTTTAATACCTAAAACTAAGTTTCAGATATTAAAAGGACGTTTGAATGATTTTTAATTTCATAAACAGTAATTTTGAATGATTAAAATTATATATCTTTTAACGTAAAAGACTAAAATGACATCTAAATTTAAAGGTTCTTTGCAAATTTCATTTATAAAACATAATTAAACCTTTAAAATATATTAAAAACAACAACATCGATGACATGTAATGGCTTTGCTACGTATATTAAATAACTAGATCATATATACAACTACATAAGACCACATCTTACTTAACAATGACTATTAAAGTAAATTATATTAGATGCTGATGGTATAAGAATAATGATGTACATAGAAAATCAAGATATACAAAACAATCAAGCCTTCTTCCATTTATTGCGATCGCATATAGAAAATCATGAACAAAGCACAAAAAAAAAAATATTTCAAATGTATCAAAAGTTCCCCTCCATGATTACAAGTCCCGAACCTTCCACTTAATAGTTACATTGGTAAATAGATATATATTATATACAAGTCCTTGTTGCTGATTAAGTTTTCATCATGATTTCATCATGATTCCTGTTAATGGCATAGCCAAAACAACTTAAAGCAAGTTGCTACGTCCACAATTAAACTTCGGGGCCAGATGCAAACATGGATACAAGACCTCTAAACACTTGAGCTGAAAGTTGGTGTGCCTGAAAAATCTCTCCATCCACATTCCATACACTCTCGTTGCCGGAAGAGGTAAAAGTAAATGCAGGGGTCTGCAAAAGCTAGATAAAATTAGTAAATTATCAATGGTCATGCTAGGCGGTGGTGTGGATTAGGGAAAAACTAACCTTATGATGTTCCACAAACTTAAAATTCAAGGGGCTCCCCCCTCTTCTTGTAAGTTGAGTCAGATGCCTGCATCATTTAGTAAAGCAAGCAGGAAAGGAATTGTTACCTAAATGTGTAAACTATATTTTGATTTGTGTAGAAATGATGAGACAAACATATAAAAACACAACAAATTAAACTATATGACAAATATGAGAGGAGAGCATAGGAATTTTAAATAAAGGTTCCGCAGAAACGAACATCACTAAACTTTTTCATGATTTAGTCTTCACAAACTTGTCACATTGCTGATTTTAAAATATGTACCCTTTATTGTAATTGATTTTCAATTCAAATATTCCATCCACTCAATTATGCAGATCCTACATGTAAAAAAAATCCTAGGGTTCAAAAGATTGAAATGAAATGGCATTGCCACGCAAGATTTCCAACATATGCTGGATAAAGATTCCATTCTTAGCAAAAACCAGATGCATATTTACAAAACACTTATTGGTTTTAATAATTTAACATGCACAATATGGAAAGAAGACAGGTGGTGTTTACCATAAATAAGATGCATGAGGACAGTCTCTAATCAATATAAGATGAAGGAAACCATCTGAGAGGTGTGCATCAGCCACAAATCCATCCGGTGCTTTTTCATTTCTGCAAGAGATTACAGCAGCTCCTACACTAAGAAAGTGTCCCTTGGATCTTGCCCATCTTGTTTCTTCTGAATTCAAATGAGGTGTGAGGCTGCAAACTCCAACAGATGAATGATTTGGCTTTTCATTACAAACTTTGCAATTAGTTCTGCAGATACGTCTTTCTGATATGTGTGGAGACCTTATTTCCCTTATCAAATTACCCTGATGATCTCTTTTGGAAGTAAAATTGATTTCATCTGATTCAACATCTAGGTATGCTATTTCTGCCTCATATGACCTAAATGATATTCGTGCAAATGGCAAGTTAAATAAGCAATACGTTAAGAGTCAATAATTGAAAAAAGCACCAAACCCATTAGTTTATGCATAAAAAATGTATTCCCACAAGATGTCTTTACCCATTTTTTTATGATTATTCGTAAAAAGGTTCATATTCATCATAAAAAAAGAGGTAGAAGTAGAAGCAAAACCTGGAGTTGAATAACTCATTCCACAAAAGTTTATTATCCAAATCAAAGGAATCAATAGAAAAGGTAATCCCTCATGATACACATTTCATGGTAACAATTTTATATTCCACGAGATTATTAGGAAACTCTGCATACTTCGTTCAAGACAACCAAAGACTCTTTAAGTTATTCTAAAATACAATCAAGATATTATTGAACATTTTTCATGTATTTCAATACTAATGGAACCTATGAGAAAAACAGCATATGCTTTATGAAAATGGCATCTCTGGTAGTGGTTCAAAACAAAGAAAGAATAAACATCCCCATGTGACAGACGGAATAAGAGAGTAAAATAAGAAAAGTATGGAATTCAAGAAAACGATTTACTTAGAGATTACCTGTGCTTTAAAAATAACATTGTTCCCGCATAATCATAACGTTTGGGACCCATCCAACGATATTTCTCACTCTCTGTGATGACATCACCATAAAATCCATACCTGAGGTCAATAATGTAGGATATAATATCACTGAAGAAATCTCTATAATAATTAGTATTAATTTGTAGTATATGGAAGATGACTATACCAGTACATGTCACAATGTGTATTAGATTGAAAACAGAGTTTCTTGATGGGTAAAAAACAAAAAAAAAAAATCCCATTTTTTATATGTTTAAAAGTACAAAGTAAAGGCAGAAAGAGCTTCACATTTACATCTCTGTTCATCATGTGGAAAGAACCGTGAACATTGGAAAGTGAGTACGTTAATGATGCACATTTACAGGTGAATATAGGAAAACCTTTAACTAGTTGTCAAAACAGACATGTCATGCAAGATTTAGCAATGTAATGAAGCTGGCAGATTAAATGTGCTTTCACATATTCAGAAATTCCTTCCACTTTATTCTCACAGCTGGTGGGATGTGCAAGTGGATTCGTTCAAGATCCAACCCAAAATTATATTTATAAAAGAGGAAATTGGTAGAGATAAAAAAGAGAAGATTAAAAATATATTGCAGGATAAAATATCATCTTTGAAAAAGAAAGTCAGAACGAGTCCTCTCTTGCAGGAGGGATAGGTGAACTTAACATACAAGCAAAGCAGCGCACTCATAATACCCAAGGGAGAGCAAGAAGAAGAAAACAAGGCACAAAGAATCAGAGAAAAAGCAAAAGAATGAAAGAGAAGTATACAAGGTGTTCAAAATCCAATTAAAGAGAAAAAACAAATAGAAAAAATTAGAGGTCTACATTCATTTTATTTGTTGACAATGGCCTTCGATTTCTTTTAACAGCAAAAACACATCAAACTTGGGAGATGTGAAAAAGAATAAGGTTCATTTTTATATTGCTTCTTCAAGATAGTTTTCACAGGAGAGAACATCCCTAATCGAATGCAACAAAAAAGATTACACAAAAAAATTCAATGTAGTTAGCCTGACACTGAACATATCTGAAAGGGAAACCCATTTAAAAATACCACAAGTTTTACACTTTGTAAAACCCAATAATCATTTAGAGGGAGCTTAGAACTTCAAAATAGGTTTTCTAAGTAGGATCAAAACTCAAACTACAGTCAGCAAGCTCAATTTTAAAAAAAAAATCATGAATCAAACTAACAAAAGCTTGACAATTTAATTTCCTCAACTGCCATACAACACTTGGTTGTGACCTACAATAACACCAATTACAAAGAGGAGCTAAAGCCATTGAAAATGCTAGAATATGAAGCCGGAAAGTATGCTTGAAAGATAAAACATTTGTAACTAAAGTAAGGATATAGCAAGGGCGAATGTTAGGATACACTAAAGATATATAACAGAAATTACCCTGAAAAGGAAGCTGCATAGCGAATGTTAGGTTCGACCTCAGATCTAGGTGTCGTTTTCCACCCTACAACTTGAGCGATGTCAAGGTGCACCCTCTTACCAAGGACAATATGCAATGCAGAAGTAATAGGATCTCGGACTCCAGTTGTACTACAAAATACAGAATGCTGTACTCAGAATTTCACAAAACCCATGTGAATTGTATTAATAAATTATAAGGTTACACAGAAAAATATTGGGTGCACAAATTTAAAGTGCATGTGATTTTCAAAACTGTATGTTAAAATGTCTATAAAAAATATAGAATATCTTTACTGCATCTTAAAATATTTAGAACATGTTAAATATCTTTAGAATATATTGAGGAACAAATTAGTTGTCTAATTAATGCATAAATTGTTTCCTAATTTTATTTTATTATGCTTCTTATTATTACCTGATTTACCTCCTTTATTCAGGATTAGTAGTTTTATTGTATTGATAGGCTTGTAATATTAATACTACACTGGTACTTCTGTTATGTAGCAGTTAGTTATGATAGATTAGACATAGTTAGACAGGAGTTGCATATAATAAGAGGGGTTGGGAGGGAGTACGTTGTCTTTGGATTGATTTGGGAAGTCTTTGGGACAGAACCAGGTCTCTCAAATACTAGGAGTGTAACACAATTTCCCATCAATAAAGATCATTTCCATCTAGAATCAGATCTAGTGTCAATCAACTCAACCTAATTATTATATTAGAATATATACGATCACCACTACTAGGATAAGATTTAGTGACAAGTATCATACCAATAATTCACCATATCAATCTAATCTATCACTATTCAGATCTCTATCTAAACTTTATAATCTCAACAGTATGCAACTTTGAGTTATAGATAGATCATCATATAACATCACATTCAATGTATGTACTCTGTAGTGAGTACTCAATCCCTTAGATTTGGTTACCATGGTTAGGCTTCCTTGATTATAGCTGGTATATATTGATATATATGCAGCTCCTGGGAGTGACTGGGCACTAGTTTTGCGTTTGTCTCCATTTTTTCTCTTTCAACATGGTAACTAGTGCTTTAGAGAGGCAACCCAAAATGGAAGAAAAACATGGATACCCATAGACCCATTATCCTCTAATGCAAATAAATTATGTTCAGTTTCAATGCATGTAATCTGTAGGCAATCCTTTTATTTAGTGACCATAATTAAGTCTCCTTGATTATAGATTGTATCTACTACATGGCTAATACACGTTAAGCTCCCTGTGTGTATTGTGAACCTAATTTCTGAATCCAACTGTTAAAAAAATATAATTGTAACAATTAAATGTAATTTATGCAGAGCAGGCAAAAATAATATTTGATAGAAGATATAGCAAAATTGGTTTGATTTTTAATTCTTTTTGCATGAAAACTAAAGCAGCTTATTCTGCAGAAAATAGATTCTTTAAATTGACATCAGATCTGATGTATATATCATCTCTTGTGTAGAATGGAAACTAGGAAGGAAAAAGATTACCAGATTACAATGGCATCAGTTGAACCTGCAGGAATAATCCCAAATCTAAACCATTCATTGGGAACAGGAAATTCAGCAGCCTTATCTTCGGAATCTTCAAAAGCCACATAATAATCAAGCATTAAATTGTCACTTCCTTTTTCCTTTTTCTATTAGTAGTGGCTTTGTGTTTCTATAAAGTACAGTAGAGATGTAAAGATGGTGGTTGCAGAACTAACATATCACAGTAGTCACTGAAGAATGGAAAAACTAACATGTTAACTGACTGAAATGATACAATGCAATGAAGAGTTGGAATGATGAGTGTAATTAATGCAGCATTGAAAACATTAAGAGTTGATCTAGCATTGGAAACATTAGGGGTCTTAGAAAGTAGCTCAATGCTTATTAATTGTCTTTGTAAATATAAGTTGTATTTATTCTTTCCTGCATATAAATACAAATATGATATGTTCAAATCAGTCAAGCAATTCACAAATGACTTTTTCATTTATCCCCAAGTCTCTAGCATCTATTTTCAAGTTTCCCAACTCATTTCAGTTTCAGAGGCATCCAATAACCAAAACAATAAGTATAGATAAACTGAACTCACTCAAATTTGAGATTCTAGATCCAGATTGCTTTGGACTTGAAATCAGAGGAAACTGGTCTTCATTTTGACTTGAAGTCTCAGCTATTTCATCTTCGTCATGAACCAAGGAATCACCATTATCTTTAACAATATGAACAAAATCTGAAGGAGTTGGTGGGTAGGGAGCTTTAAACCTGGGGGAAAGAAACCCATTAAGGATTTCATTGAAAAATCCATCACCACCCTGGAACCACCACAGTTAGAACATAATTTAAAAACTGAGGAAAACCACTTGAAAATTTATTAAACGGATGCATCTAAAATATAAAGGTTTAAACATGACAAACATAAATCCTCATGAACATTGTAAAAGAATGATTGAGGAATTAGATTCATAGCAAGAATATGCATAAAATGTTCTTGGAAATCGCACTGTGCAAGACGTTATAATAAATATCAAACCCAAATGCTAATCTTAATATTGCACATGCTCATGGTATCAACAAAATATTATGACACTGTATCATTTGGCAGAGTATTTTAGATCAGCAAGCTAAGTTTTTTCATATTCATTTATGTTCCAGAGTTTAGACAACAAACAAAAAAATAGGTTTTTCCTTCAATTGATTTTATTTTATTCCAATTGTTGAGGTAAGATGAAAACAGAAAAGTGATAGAACTGGATCAAGACAAAAGAAAGTGGTGAAAATAAATTAAGAGAAGTGACAAATGTGCACTATTCTCAACTGCAACTCTCTGGTAATAGAGCCAGAGATGAGGTACAGTAGTACTTAGGGTTTTTGAATGACCCTGACCTCTCCCCACTTTCGAAGAGTCCAATCCGATCCTTTCAAAATGACAAGATATATTTCTTTGTCAACCTCTCCTCTTATTTATAGGAAATATGGCTTAGCTGTTCTCAATATCAGCCTAACAAGAATAATTTTAACTAACTCCCTCACTAGGAGATTAACTATCAGACACCTAACAAAAGAGAAACATCAAACATCAGAGTGTTCATTGTCAGGAAAAAGCAACTATATATCATACTATGTGTTAAAGAAATTATTAGATACTCTGTAAATGTGGAAATATGTACAGCTAACAGTATCCCTTATTACTCTTTAATCTGTTTCCTTATTTTGTATTCTTGATCATTATACATTGAGAATCCCTTGTGTGCTTTAACACACATTCACTAAATCCTACATTGTATAAGAACAATAGATTATTTCAATTTTGTGAGAGAAGGTTCTATCCAGAAAACCATTATTGATTTTTTAAGCTCCAGTCCAATTGGCCAACATGTTCACCAAGTTTCTCAAGGGTTCTTACGTTGACAACATTTGTAACAAGTTTGGGTCATATGATTTATATGATCTAGCGTGAGGAAGGGCCTTAAAAATATGATTGGATCCTCTGTAAATAGGGAAATAAGTATAGTTAGCAATCAAGGATTGTATCCCCTGTTACTCTTTATTTTGTTTACATAATTTGTATTCTTAATCATTATAATAGAGAATCCCTTCTGTTTTTTGACCATATTCAGTAAATCCTACACTATGTTAAACTTCAACTATGGTTTCAAACCCAGTTCTAAGCTCATGTAACAGATGAGGGTTGTCTTAGTTAGGCCTTCAGCAACAACTCCTCTTTCATCATCTTTATCTCTTATTTTTGTTCTTGACTCTAATTACCATTTCAATTTGATTTTTGCTAGTCATCTAACATGTTGTGTAAGTTATTCTATAACCATTACTTTAGATTCTTCTCTTATACAAGGCCAAAGTACGAGGTAGGCAATTGGTACTGTATGAGTAACATGGACCTTATTACCTTCAGTCTTCATCCTCCGTTGCTTGCACCATTACAAAGTCTCTTTTCATTGTCAATTATCACATTTATACTTTTGTCCCTGTTCTTTCCTCTATCACATTTCCAAATCTCCACAAGAAGCTGTTTCTTTACCTGGGTTGGCAATAAGCTAAGATTGATATGATAACAACTTTGGAATCTAACTATAAAAGTGCCTTTGTTCCTTCTCCTAGAAAACCTATAGTTGGATGTTGTTGGATCTATTAAGTCAAAGTTGGTCCAGATTGAAAGGTTGACAGCTCTCTTGGTGGCTACAAGATATATCCAAATGTTTTTTTAATCTATTTTTCTATAACAATCATGCAGGATTTGCCATTGCACTGGCTATACATCAAATACACCTTTCTTCCTGGAGACACGAGAGTATAAAGAGCAGTACGTATGTTGTCTACTTAAGATTTTGCATGCTCTCAAACAGTTACCTCAAGCACAGTTTGGGAAATTTAGTACAGTTATTCATCAGTTTGGCATGATTTGTTCAACTGAAGCAAACCACTCCGTTTTATGGATGCTCCTCTAATCAATGTTTTTAATTGGTTGTTAGTATTAATGATATTGTTATTTCAGGTGATGGTCATGATGGATAGCATAACTGAAACGACACTCAGTCTGCCATTTCCAGAAAGAAGATAGATCAGTTGCAGCACTTCCTTGGAATTAAGGTAGCTCAATAAATGGAAGAAATTTTTATATAACAAAAATACAGTTTGGATATTTTGGAAGAAACCAGTATGCTGCACTGCAAGCCAATCAATACTCTTATCATGGATAAAAATGCCAAGCTTCTATCGTATTAAGGGAAGTCTTCTCCAAATCTAGGAAGGTATTGAAGGTTATTTAGGAAGTTGAAATGTTGGATTACTTCAGCATGACAAGCATAGATATTTCATTTGTTAAAAATGTTGTCAATCGATTCCTTAATTTTTGTGATAGTAACGGGAATGTCGTGGTTAGGATTTTGAGATACATGAAAGAACCCCGTATAAGAGGTTTAGTATAAGGCAGACGTGATCATGATAAAGTTGTATACACAAATGCAAATTAGGGAAGTGGTATCATTAGATGATCCACATTAGGATATTGTTATCCATCAGTTTGGCATGATTTCATGGAGAAAGAAGCAAATTTTTTTTGTCAGATCCAATGCAGAGACTGTGTACCTAGGTACAGCTCTCATCACATGTCCGTTAGCTATATGGCTAAAAATTCTACTCCAAATGTCGTGGTTAGGATTTTGAGATACATGAAAGAACCCCGTATAAGAGGTTTAGTATAAGGCAGACGTGATCATGATAAAGTTGCATACACAAATGCAAATTAGGGAAGTGGTATCATTAGATGATCCACATTAGGATATTGTTATCCATCAGTTTGGCATGATTTCATGGAGAAAGAAGCAAATTTTTTTTGTCAGATCCAATGCAGAGACTGTGTACCTAGGTACAGCTCTCATCACATGTCCGTTAGCTATATGGCTAAAAATTCTACTCCAAGAATTGTGTTTCTGTGACGTAGACTCTAGGAATCTGATTTGTAATAACCGAACAACCCTGCACAATGCCTCCAATGAAATCTTTTATGAAAAGAAAAAGCATATTAAGATTCAGTTCCATTTTATTACAAGAAGGTTATGTCTGGAGAAATTACTACCTCATTTGTTGGTTCTACTGAGAGCAGTCAACAGATATTTCCATCAAGTTTCTTCAAGGATTGAGAATAGCTTGCTACATATGTTGCAAGCTTGATGCATACAGCCTATATGCTCCAGGTTGGGGGAGTGTTGAGATATTATGTAGATTATAGAGATGTATTAGAAGATATGACACAAGTTTGATTTAGTTGACTTTGTTCCTATATATATATATACCTATTTATATAAGATTTTATTTGAATTTATGTAAATGATATATTTTAGGAGATTTGCACCTAATGTAATTATGATTTAATTTCTATATCATCGGGTATTTAGATTTTCCTCCATTCACGTATCCTTTGTACAGTTAAATCAATCAGAAATACACTTATTTTTTCAATCATTTCCTCTGGTCTCAAGTATAGCATAATGAGTTTAATCAGCATCAAAATTTCAGAAGAATGAAGTATTAATCAGTTATTTCTGTTCCAGTTCTAACAGAATGTAAAGAAGGGAGATAAGTTCTTACAACGGCTACAACACCATCATATGAGTTAAGCTCCATATTTGTTATACAAGACATCACATCAAATGCCTCTCCTGCTCTCTCTGTCACAATCACCTAGCAAAGAAAAGCAAATTTATTACTAAGATACTGATCAATAATCTAATTTGCTTATCTGTTACCACTTAATATTATCATAAAGCTAAGTTCTCCTTTATTTTGCAGTATCCAGAGCAAACAAAAACAGTTGTGATGTGAAAGATTTATGTTAGACACGTATACGTGCAGATCTAAAAAAGTAGGAAGTAACTAAGCTGAGAAAAATTAAAAGACAATCACCTCAAGCTAATTCAAGCACAATAGATCAATCAATCTTGAGCAAAAGCTCAAATATAAGACATCAATCTTTCTTGTGCTTAAACAGATAGAGCGCAAGTTAGTAAAATCATTTGAAGAAACAAATGCACCACAAACAAAATTGCTCATTAGTTCATTCTCCCCTCTCCTCCAATATATTATAACATTCTCATCTAATAAAGTTATTTTGGTTAATTATCAACAAAATCAGGTCATTTTTGTTATGGAAAAAACTTACATTCTGAAGTTTAGGTACAGTTGGTATTGTTCTATAATTACATTAGGAGTTTCAGCTTGGGAATTTACATTTTAGTAAATGGATTACATATTTCAAACATGAAACTCCAAATTTAATTGGGGAACAGAACCAACTGTACATATAGTACGGTATATAAATTTTATCCTTTTTGTTATTTATATTATTAATTCTTAATCCTTTTTGTTATTTAATCAACTTTTAATAGGACAAGCTCAAATAGATCACTAGTGATTTTATTATGTTAGTTTCACTAGTCTAAGCTGTAGGATTGGCTGGCAAGGCATGCACAACAGAAAAGCAACATATTATTTTAAAATGAATCTACAAATTAAAATATGTATCCTTGTAAACTTCAGAAAACTATTAAAAGAATTATTTGTTAAACTCCATAAGTTAACAGAACGAAATTCATAGAAATGGAGTTAATTTATTTCTGTTACAACAGCTGAGCACAGTCCAAAAATAATATTTTAAATAACTATTGAGCAAGGAGTTGATTGCCCATTTGAAGACTTGGCTAGGAGTTAAGCATACATAAACTTAACATTGAAAGTTTATCAGGAGCTATCCATTTAGGATACTGTTAGAGATTCGAAAGTTTCACCTTTGTTTTTACTTTAGCGCGAGAAAATATAGGAGCAACAGCTTCCCAGGTTCTACAGCCATTACCTTTACCGCTCCTTGGATGAACAAAAACCTAGTGAATCAGAAATTATATCTGGGAAAAGTTCATTTTAATTAATCAATAAAAGTAAAATGCAAAATTGTAAATGTTTGACCAATGATAGAGCATACCAAAAGATTCTTTGGTCTTCCAACTTCATGTTTCAAAGAAGCATTAAGTTGATTTACCCACATCCGACACAATTGCAAATTTTTATGACCAAAAGTATAATCAGCCAGGATACACTGCGAAGGTTGATTCTTGCTCCTTATAAAACCATGCACAGTAAAGCGGTACATCTGCATAATTGCAAGGTAAATAGAGTGAAACATTGCAAACATATAAGGAAAAAAATTGTATAACCTGTGAACAAGAACAAGATCAAACCTGTATGTCTTGACCTAAAAGTAGACATTCAGTAGCAGGAGGGAGATTTGATATGTAAATTGAACCATGACCGTTTAACTCAACAGCATATATCTCAGAAAGTTTGATCTTAGTAGCAACCATAGAAAAATATTTAATGCGTAAACAAGTTGAAACATCCTGATCCATCAAACATTTAAAAAAATAGTATTAGATGAAACCCAAACTACAAGCTCAATTTAGTAATTATCAGTTTAAAAACTATGCATTGCCCATATAAGGTCATATTCTTGCCACCTATTATATATTATAAATGCATACATATATACATACATGCATATATATATATATATATATATATATATATATATATATATATATATATATATATATATATATAAATGAAAAAAATAAAACATAAACAAGCCATGACAGGGATGATAAACTAGAAGAAATTTAAACGCAAGGGAAGCTGTGCCATTTTTTAATTTGGATATGAAAAAAGATTGAAAAAATCTTTTTATTGGAAAATATATGGTTGTTACTTGGCAATGGTAGCATTTCACTCTGTTCTGCTACAAAGAGTGAGGTGTTTGGCTGTAGTAAAATTAATCTAATACTATGTGACTAAATTGCTATCCTCTTTAATATTATATGCCAAACTCGATAATTATTAAATTTCAATGATAATTACATGTTGTACATTTTATTATGACTACATATAAATCTAAGTATTTATCTATCTATTGAGATCACTGCCCATATGGAATGTATCTGTTCCATCATATTTTACAGATTAAGGTTTCAGTTTGCATCAGAGAATAAGAAATTTATTTTCCTGATTCTCAGCATGTTCATGATTGTTTTGTTCGCATATTAATAGGAACCCAATTCAATATAGGTAGAAATTTGTATTATAGATTGAAAAATAGCTTTGACAAAAGAGAAACCCTGTAATACCAGAGCATAAGTTCCTCACATAAACTATTTCTTTGCCTAATAAAAAACAATACATAATTCTTCCCGACGTACATCTCATGTTCCTTTATACGTAACCTCATTTTCTCTCAACATAACTAAGCCCTGGATATTTGGGCTTGCAGGTACCCCATAATAGGTTGTCCTGATTCAATGGAAATTGGAAACCTATCAATGCCACCTCCTTTAAATTATGTCTTGTCCTCCAGGAAGAGAAAAGAAAATTGTTCTGTAACAGCTGTTGGTCAAGCCTTCCAAGGGATGAGCTATTCAATAATTGTTGTTCCATTATGCTTGAGGCAGAAAAAGAGAAGCTTCCCCTTCACTACATTTCCTTCGTCTCATGTAGCCACTTCCATTGCTTGAACCTTCAAAAGGATAAGCCACTCAATCATTGTTTTGCCATTACACTTACTCCTTTTGCATGTGAGTAACATTTCATTACGTTTCCCAATAGATCTTGTTTCCATTGGTTTCTCAATTATGTAGCGAGAAAATGGATTTTCTGGAATATATGCATCATGTAACTCTATTTTGTGAATCCTTCCATGTAAACAAAATCCAAACTTCAGTGTCAACCCAAGAGTTTTGGTTTCAGTAATCTCTATAGAGGCTTTCTCCAAAATAATTCACAAGGAGTTGGTTTTGAATAAATGGAGCATTTGTTGAAGAATAGGATAGTTGTTTCATAGTGAGTGTTACTCTACCAGTTCCACTGCAAATACTAGATACACTGTAATAACTTGATTGCCCTGTAGTAGGCTTCCAAGATATTGGATTGTTTGTTTCTACAGCTCTTTTTCTCATAGCAAAACCATTTAAATTACTAAAGAAAATAATCAAGACACATGACTCAGTTAAGTTGTCAATACAGTCATATATACACAACTATGTTTGGATGTATTGGATTAATAATTACCAAAATCAGCTGAACAGATTTGAAGAATGAATCTTTAGCAAACAAAATCAAATTGTTGCCCTTAAAATATAAAGGTTGGTCTCAATCACTGTTTGGAGGTCCCATTCGGACATAAGACTAAGTCTAGAATTAAGGTCACCTAAGGGTACTAGTGCTTAGTCATTCCATTTTGTGTTCTTGTATACTAATTTCCTCCTACAATCCCTTCATAGAAAATTATATCTGTTAGATGTCCAATCAGTTGTAATTTGATCCATTGTAGTCTCCAATTCTTTAACATATTTATCCACCAAACTCTCTGGATTAAAAACCTCAGTTGAGAAAACTGATTGCCAGAGCATTGGACCCTATATCTATCAAAGAGGGCATGCTTTAGCTTCTCCAAATTCAATTCCAGATCCCTCTCTCCAGGTCTTGACCAATTGTCAAGTAATACCCACCATTTGTTCAAGCTTCACTATCGGGGTCTCATGCACCACAAAATTCCTTTCAGCTTTTGCAACCCATTCACAAATCCAAAATTTGAATCTTGTCCAAAACAGTAAACCTTGATGCATTTGGTTGGAATTGGATTTACCTTTTTACATGCGTTTCCCATAATATGGGACACCTTTAGATTAAGAAACTTACCCACTCTATAAATACCAGTTTTGTCCACCTTTATATTTGGCTGACCCATTTGTCTCAATTCAACCCCAACCTTTGCACTTTCCAAAATTTTGTTGCTATCATGTAACAACACAACAGCATACATCTCTCCTTCTCCTGCATCACCAAGCAGTGTTTTCCACCATGTCAACACCTTCGTGTATCTATTGGTGGGTTCAAGGTGTCCACAGTGCAGTGAGATAGATGAGTCTCTCTTTTACCTAGCGACTTGACTGTAACTTGAGATGACCTTGATAACCACCCACTGACCATCATTAGAAGCAATTCACAATTTAGTTGTGATTCTTGTTTTCCCAACATTGTGTCGTCTTGTCAATCTAGGTTTACCTTCATTTCTTGTTTTTCTAACAATCTAACTAATGGACTAGTCTCACCACCACTCATATTTGCATAAGAACGGGACTTGTCACTTTGATCCCCCAAACCCCATTACCATGTGGGTTTTCTTCCTCCTCATTTCTCCTGGAGCATGTAATTGATCTTACCATCCTCTATAGTCAACTCCTCAGCAATACTACTTACTGGCACTCTCTCTGAATCTTCTAATCATAGTCATAGAAAATGACTACCAATCTGCATCGAGATCCTCTTGGCACCAAGCCCATGAATTCTCATTGCAATTTATCACATAGGTGAATATCATGCTCCTCATAGAACCTTTCACCTCCAACAATCCAACCAATAGGGTCCATTGCCACAAAGTACGGCAGCTTCACCTTCCTAACCCACATGTTCTCCATCTCTAGAAACACTGGGTCTCTCTTGACCAATCCAAATATCTATCAAAATGATAGGAACCCAATTTGATATAGGTAGAAATTTGTATTATAGACTGAAAAATAAAACTGTTACAAAAGAGAAACCCCTATAATCCAAAAGCATAAACTCCTCAGAGAAACTATTTCTCTTCCTAATAACAAACAACAACCCAAAATTCTTCCCCACATACCTCCCACGTTCCTTTACATGTAACCTCATTTCAACTCTTCTCTCTCTATAACTAACTTTTTCCTCCTTCCCTATTTTCCACCTAAGGTAACTCTAGTGGGCCATGGACATCTGGGCCTGCAGGCACCCCATACTGCGTTGTACTTATTCAATAGAAATTGGAAACATATCCCCCGCTGTCTCGCAGAAAGAGCGGTAAAAATTATGATAATGGAAGTGGTTTTATGTGTTGTCTTGAAGATGGGTGATCTTACATTTATTGTTCTCAAAACAAATTTTGGATGTTGCACTTCGCCCCTCCTAGTTTTATCCGTGAACTGATGAAATGACTCCCTTAGTGGTTCCTACAAGCTTAATGGTAGCTTAAACTCAAACTTGCATTCCATTAAAATAGCCAACAAATCCATCCCTTACCCACAAATTTGGCTCCTCATTCAAGCTCTACCTTCAAAGCTCACACCCCATTCAATGAATACATTTTATCAAACATGACAACTATATCCGACACAGTCATAGGAAAATTGAGACTCGGAACCAATATTCAACCGCAATACGGGCATTGGTACGAGGTATCTATAGGTACATGGTTCGTCACTTTTTACATAATTATTACTAGACTTTTGTGTGGTACCATGAATTCGATACACAGGGTTATTGAGAGAATTCTACAATTACGATTCAACATAATCTAAACTAGGTGCGAGATCAATCATCCACCTCATCTGACAAAAATCTCAATACAAGCCAGACATTTTCACAAACACGTTGAGAGCAATCAAATGGACTTACATTATCCAACGGTTCCACCATTTTCCAAGACAACTCATCTGAGTGGAAGGTGAGGTTGACCTCCCCAACGTGATCCAACAAAAAGGTGGAGCTCAAAACGGGAGCTTCACCGTCAAAAGGTGAAACTGTGAGAGACATGTCCCCCACATCACAATCGTTTCCTTCTCTCTCCATTCACAACGGAAGAAGAGTCAAGGAAACGAGATGATGTAAGTTTACCCGAAAATTAAAATTTCAAAGTTCTTGAAAAGGTTGAAGATTTTCAACCAGGTGAAAAAGGCTCGAGTTTGTAGCGTTTGGAAAGTGCAAGGAAAGTGCAGAGGAAAATCTTTTTATTATGGTTTTGGTTGGTGTTCTGTTCTTTTTCCAACGCAACTTGTGAGGGGCACAACCATTGACTCGATTTAGCCCAAGGAAGAGATTGACCACAAATTTTGACTCACCGTGAATGGTTATTATTTTTTTCTTAATTATGTTTCTTTTCAAATTTTATTTTTAATACTTAAATTAAATATTCACCAGCTTTCATTTCAGTGATCAATGTCGTTAGATATGTGACATCTTATTGATTTAATTATTTAAATTACGAAATAATTATTTTCACAAAATAAAACAAAACAATAGCTCTTATAGTGGTATAAATATAAATTCTAAAAAAAATAATGAGTTTATATTAAGAGAAATAGATAAAAAAATTGTAATTAATTAAATTAATTTAAAAAATAATTAATTAAATAAATTATAACAAATAATTTAAATTAAAAAATTAATAAAACTAATATGAGTAAAATACAAAATTAGATATGAATTCATTTAATAAAATATTTAAATAATTAATTAAAAATGATCTACAATTTACTATTAATATTAATAGTTATTTATTATAAAAAATATTGAAATAAACAAAAAAGTATGAATTTTTCGATAATACGACCATGGATTTAAAAAAAAAACATTTCTCTTAGATTTTTATATTTTTATTGGGATTAAACTTTCTTTGTGTTTTTTCTATGCAAATATATATAAATAAATAAATAAATTTATATACAGTAATTTCTTTGCAAATTAAATTATATTTTATTTACTTTGTTCGGAAGCAAATAGAATGTAAATGTGATAGTCACAAAGTTTTTCATCGTTAACTAATTTGATATATTAGTTAAGTGTAATTTTTTTAAAAGATAAATTTTTTTATGTCTTAATCTTTTTATAAAATAAATTGTTATTTTATCAAAAAAATTAGAAATTAATTTAGTTCAGTATAATTTATAAATTTTAATCCCTATAAAAGAATATTTTTTCTATAATTAAAATTCCTATTTTATTATTATTATATATAAATAAAAGATACTAACTAACTATAATAAGATATTAGACCTCGTCGTATTATAATATATGATTAAATATTTAAAATATTCTAAAAATTTGTAAAATAAACATTATAGTATATCTTAAAATGAATATTAGAAATTATTTAAAATTTTTGGAAAAAAAATCAAATAAAAATCTTTTGCATCAAAGATTTACATATTAGAATAATTTTAAATTCTATAAAAATAAAAAATAAAGATAAGTAATATAAAAGAAGTTAATTTTGTCGTTAAATAAATTCAACCATATTATTCACGACATCACAATTTTATTTTAGAGAAAAAAACAAATATTTTAAAATTTGAAAGAATAAAAAACATCTTTTTGGCATATAAATTTTCTAAAATTAGTTTTTAAATACTAAGATTTTTCTTCAATATGTCATGGGACTCTATAAAAATAAACCTATTCACCAAGCCAAGAAGTAAAACCCTTCATTTCCAACTCCAAAACCCTCCTAACGAACCGAAAAAGACCAGGAAAGCGCCCAAAACCCTAAACCCATCTCTGAAATGGGAAGCAGCCAAGCCGCCGTATCCTTCCTCACGAATCTCGCCCGCTCGGCCTTTGGCTTGGGAGCGGTGGTCACCGCCCTTTCCTCCTCCCTCTACACTGTCGATGGCGGTCAGCGCGCTGTCCTGTTCGATCGTTTCCGCGGTATTCTCGACGCCACCGTCGGCGAGGGAACCCACTTCCTAATCCCGTGGGTCCAAAAACCCTACATCTTCGACATCCGCACGCGCCCCCACACCTTCTCCTCCATCTCCGGCACCAAAGACCTGCAAATGGTTAACCTCACGCTCCGTGTCCTCTCTCGTCCCGACACTGCCAAGCTCCCTGTCATCGTTCAGAACCTTGGTCTCGAGTACGACGAGAAGGTTCTTCCTTCTATCGGCAACGAGGTCCTCAAGGCCGTTGTCGCACAGTTCAACGCCGACCAGCTCCTCACTGACCGCTCACAGGTCTCCGCCCTGGTCCGCGACAGCCTCATCCGCCGCGCCAAGGACTTCAACATCGTTCTTGACGACGTCGCCATCACGCACCTGTCTTACGGCAGTGAGTTCTCACGCGCTGTGGAGCAGAAGCAGGTGGCGCAGCAGGAGGCGGAGCGGTCCAAGTTCGTGGTAATGAAGGCCGAGCAGGAGCGGCGGGCCGCGATTATCCGCGCTGAAGGAGAGAGTGATGCGGCAAAACTCATTTCTGATGCTACTGCCGAAGCTGGAATGGCACTTATTGAAATCAGGAGGATTGAGGCCTCCAGGGAGGTGGCCGCCACGTTGGCGAAGTCGCCGAATGTCTCGTATTTGCCTGGCGGACAGAACTTACTGATGGCTCTTAACGCTTCGCGATGATCTTGATAATGGTAATTGTGTTGTTGGCTTTGGATTGATTTGTATGCGTTTGAGTTGATTGACTGTGTATCCTAAGTTTGATATTGATAATGGTAATTGTGTTGTTGGCTTTGGATTGATTTGTATGCGTTTGAGTTGATTGACTGTGTATCCTAAGTTTGAGGAATCATTGTAATTGGTGTGTTATCACACCCTCATGGCTATTGGATGGTAATCATGGTAATCATGCAGTTGGCCTTGGTATGATTTGATCGCCTTTGAGTTGATTAATTGTGTCTTAATTTTAAGGACTCATTGTATTTGGCGTGTATGCGTTGCTCATGGTGTTCATTGCACCTTTTTACTTTCTTTTGAGATGTGTAGTGCATAATTGATTTTTGACTGATATGATTTATGTTTGGATTTCTTTTAATTCTAAAAGTCATTTAGTAGTAAAGTCAGCAAAAGATGCTTAAAGTTGTTTTTAATTCGAAATCATTTAATGTAGTGTGATGCTTGGCCCTTCATGATGGTAAATGTCTAGTTGGCTTTAAGATTAGATGCAATTTGTTTGTGTTGTTACCCGGTTAAAATTGGAGTTTTTTATGCTGACATTTGATGCAAGCTTATATCGGATTGACACTTAAACAAATTCTGATTAGAGAACAATATAAAATGCAAAAGAGACTTCGTCTAAGTTTTGTGTGTAATGGTGTGGTTGACCTTGTTTTAATTTACATTCATTTTAGATTTTGAGCTAATTTATTGGGTCTCCTTACTTGGAGGCGTGTAATGCTACGCACATGATTGACCTTGACGTGCATGAGTTGAAAGTGTAAAAGTTGGTCTTTACCTATACTGGCATTCAATCATAAATTGTTAAGTTTGTTGTCTTTTACCATATCTTTTTTGAAATTTACCTATATGATTTTTAATTCGTTAATAATGTAAAGTTCTTTATATTTACAGAATAGGAATTGAGATCTTTTGAGTAAATAAAAGGTTCACAACCACAATTGTGGCCACGATGCAAGGTTTTTGTGGTCTCTGTGAGCACATGTCCCATAGTTTTCTGCAATGGCAAAGATCCCAATGAAACTGTAACAATGAATGGAATCACAATTTAAAACCTTGTTGGTCTTGATAGTGAAGTGGGACATAAATATTAATAGAGTCTAGAGGCCTTTAGAGAAAGTAACAAAGAATGTGTTGGTATTTGTTAGCAAGAATGTGTTGGTATTTGTTTGCATTTCTCTTTGATTGGGAAACCATTAAGTGAAGAATTTCTGATTGGTGATCAGGTTTCTTATGGAATTAATGACTTTATATCAATTTAGCTTTTTCAAGTTTCAACAGAGATTATTAGACTGAAATTTAGTGCCGATCTTATTAATATAGTAGACTTTTTATTTGTTAGTGTCAGCATTAGATTTCACCTAATAAGGACAATTTCTCTCACGCACTGCCTTGGTTTTCTGACTGAGGTAATACCTCCTTGGTAGGGCTGGCTTAGTTGTCCATGAAATTACTGTAGTGAAACAAAGTTCACGGATATTTCAAAACAAAGCTATGAATGCTAAATTGTTTACATACATTGGCACACTTTTGCATAGTTTTTCTATGAAAATTTCTTGAGATGTGTTAAAGAGATTTTGGGTTATGTGTTAAGAGATAAACTTCTTCGTGTTTGCCATTTTCATTTAAATTTAAAATTATTGGCATTAGTTAGCTGTTACTTTCTGGGGCTAATTTTCTGATTGTGTCTCTTCACAAAAAAGAAATAGAATAAATAAAAGAACAAAATTTTATACCCAGTTGTTTCTAGTTTTTGTCATGTGCAATATGTTATCCGTTAAAGGCCTCTAATGATCATCAGTCTTGGCCCTAAAAGTATTTCACCATTTCCAAACCCGCCTAACATATTTCCTTGTTCATTTCAGGGCATAATAATGCGGTGGCATGAGATGTTTGGATAATTTTATTTCGTTCCGCTGTTGGAAGTATCTTTCTTTTGTTTAATTAGACTATCATTTTGAGCATAATTCAGTATAATACTTGACTTGATTGTGTGCTTAAATGTAAGTTCTTTGACCCTTATCATCAATTTACCAAAAATTTTCAATACATCAGGCGCCTATGGTTCAGTTTCGTCTATCAATATTGTGAATAAAATTTAATCCTAAAATTTAACACCAGTGTAACAACTTAAATGAATGTTCTCCTACCAACTTACCGACTACGACATTAATGAAATATCATGAGAGAAATTATTTTACAAGAATTGTTTGGCTCGAAATTTTGACAATGTGTTATATTTGTTAAATTTATTATTTTTTTAATTTTTGTAATATTATTTTTAAAAAATTATTAAATAGTGACAAATAAAATTTTAAATTTATGGGTTGTTTAATGGGAAGAGGGTATGAAAATAAAGAAAATGAATTTAATTGGATTTGTTTGGAACGAAAGAAATAGAGAAGGAATTAAAAATTATTTTTATTCTATTTCCCCTTTTTTATTAATGTTTATATTTATTTTATTTTTTTCAACTAAATACTTTTACTTTTTATACATTTTTAATTTACATCCTGTCCACCACTTTTTTTCCATCCATTCGACTAAACAAACTCTTAGAGTGAGAATGAAATCAATTTTTCCTTATTTCATTTGAAGATTATTCAAATAATGTTATGGATCTCTTTATAATAACTTTTCTATAAACATTTTTTTTAAGAATTTCCTTTTCATGAACTAAAATTAACTTGTATATAACTAAAAATGAATTAAGTGTGAGGTTGGATTTGAAGAAAATACAAACATAATTGAAAATGTTGGTTTTGATAATCATGTCTTAGTTAAAAGTGAAGCATGTTGTATTGGATGACAATGAAGAGGACATAGTAGCTAGAGTTGATGACAATAAACAAAAATGTTACGAATTACAGAGTTATAATTCTGAAACTGAGAGTGTGCATAAGTACGAGAGATTTAAAAATGAAGACGTATAAGAATTTTAAGTTTAAGTTAGGTATGGATTTTGCTAGCACTAAAGAATTTAAAAATGTGAGCATAAAGTTCAATAAAATGACAAAAAGAAGAAGGATGAGGTTAAAATGTTAACTCAATTGTGATTTTTTGTTTTATATGATGAGTAATGTTGGCATGAATGAGACTAATTTTGAAACCCAAACATAATTGTACCAAGTCTAAATGAGTTGTTCTAGAAATAAAGATGAGTTTACACAAGATGTTTAAATTAATCATATCAATAGAAGAGATAATATTGTTGATAATGAGGCTATAGGTCTCAATCACACTGTCAATGCTGAACATCCTTAATAAATGTAATTCAAGACCAACAGTTCTCATCTCAACCAAAAATAACAATCACCTTATGGATGCTGTGGTAATACAATTTTTAACTTAAAATTCTTTCTATGCATTGTGTATCTCATGATTTTGATCAATTTTCATTTCAGGTGCATAAAAAAAGCACAAGTATTTAGTATTTTTACTTGATCAGGCTATGTGATTTTAGATTTATTTTGAACATTTAATATGCTAACTTGATAAGTGGAAACTTCTGTTTACTAAATTCTAAACAAATTTTTTGAAGTCTTCTATGATGAGTGATTCTTACATCTCTTTTCCTTATTAAGAATCTTTCTTATGAAAAACTAAATGTTGTAGTAAAATTACGTACTTCAATAAACAATTTTGCTCAAACAAATGAAAACTCTCTCTTTTATCATATTAAATATTTTATAGTATTTTAAATTTGGTGAAAATTCTCCATATTCGGTTGCGCTCATTGATTTCAGAAACCTCAAGAACAGTGGTACAACCTCCATCTCCATGCCTGCAAAACCCTTCATCATTATCTTCATCCTCCCATTACTCTCTTCGGTACACTCCAATCACCTTAGCCTCCCTCTCTAATCAGAGTTGAAAATGATCAATTTTGAGTTTCCCAGCACTCAAAGTCTTAATTTTTGTCCTCTTTAGGCAAGTTTTGATGTGACAGTGTTGTTTTTAATCAGGTGGTAGGGCATGAAACCGTGCAATCGGAAGAGTACCCTTTGGTTGTGAGCACGTGGCCCTTCGTTGAGGCTGTCAGAGCAGCATGGAAGGCTGTTGATGCTGGCTCTTCGGCTGTGGATTCCGTGGTAGAAGGTTGCTCTACCTGCGAGGAGCTGAGGTGTGATGGAACAGGTTGGGGCTTGAATGTTTGGAACATAATGAATTATTTGAACCTCTTTAGCCTTGTATTCAGTGGATACTGTAGATTGGGTGTGAACTTATCACTCCATGTTGTGATTTTGAAGTATTTGATAGCTGATTTTTGCCTAGAGCTTCTTCCATTCTTATTGAGTGCTAATTGGAATGATACTAACCCTAGGTTCACAAATAATAGGCTTACATATGATACTGGTCCCTAAAACATTTTTTCAGTCTTTTTGGTTCCTCAAACCTCAAACCTCAAATTTTACTATTTTAGACACTCATGTAGATCTATGATCACAAAATTATATTTAATTCACTCTATGCTAGTAGCTTGTTAAATTATTGGCATTACATGTCAAAATTGCTATTCAAGTGTGACTTGTTGTGTTGTGGTTTATGAAGATAACTTGCTTGGAAGATTGTAATTGGTAATAAAGCTTGTTTCGCAGGAAGGGGAGAAGAGTTGTGAAAAGTTCTGTTTTTACCCAATGTTTTTGTCTTTCTATTTATGGTCCTTAACCATCTTGAGATTCGGTCCTTTTTGAGTTGTTTCTTTATGTCTTCATGACATGTACTGTTATGCATGCCTTTTGAACATCCTATTCTGAACAGTTGGTCCAGGTGGAAGTCCAGATGAGAATGGAGAAACTACAATTGATGCTCTGATCATGGATGGGGTAACTACCTATTATCATGTTCTGAATCTGCTAATAATTGTGTTTTGCATTGTACTTTTCAATGATCTTGCATGATTATTGGACCCATCTTCTGCTAAGGGGACACACAGGTGACAATGGAAGTAGGAGCTGTTGCGGCTATGAGATATGTAACGGATGGAATCAAGGCTGCCAGGTTAGTGATGCAACATACTGAACATACATTGCTGGTGGGAGAGAAAGCATCAGAATTTGCTATTTCAATGGGTCTTCCGGGACCTACAAACTTGAGTTCACCAGAATCTATGGAGAAGTGGGCCAAATGGAAAGATAGTCGCTGCCAACCAAATTTCAGAAAAAATGTATCACCTGCAAATAGTTGTGGTCCTTATAGTCCAACACATTACCTGCGGCATCCTGATGAAACATGCTCCAGTACTGGTCATATGCTGACTAGTGATTCAGGATTACTTCGTGTTGGTCTTCATAGCCATGATACTATATCAATGGCTGTTATTGATAGAGTAAGATTTAGCATAAAATTGATTTGTAGACATCAATTGATCTATGCAAATGACAAGTTTTATTTGGCATAGATGGGACACATTGCTGTTGGGACATCCACTAATGGTGCAACATTCAAGATTCCTGGCAGGTAACCTTGTAAGTTCCAGTGCCAGTGCCAGTATTAGAAGTGGACTGATTTTTTCATTTCTTGAATGCCCTCACTTCTCTTCCTTTTCAAACTAAGTATATCTTGATTTATTGAACGTTACATGAAATTGTTTTTTTAATCTTTTTATATGGTTGTGGCTAATTCCCATTAACTCTCATGACTACTGTACTTAGCATGAGAAGGGATGACTTTAGAAATTAGAGTGTCCTGTCCTTATATCACTCTGCTTGGAGTGGTTTCATTTGGGCCATGGCAAAGTGTGTCTGTCAATTCCGAGTACAAATGCTGCAGACACTGTTAGTGAAGCAGAAATCAATCACACCCTTAGTCTGGTACCCTCTATTCATTTTATAATTATGTTTTCTTTAGATTTATTTGTTTGATTATAGGGTAGGCGATGGTCCCATAGCTGGATCCTCAGCATATGCTGTAGATGAAGTGGGTGCATGTTGTGCAACTGGGGATGGTGACATCATGATGCGCTTTCTACCATGGTAGCATAGATACTCTCTAATTTCTTTAGTTTACAAACTGAGTTGCTTTTTGCTAGATTGTCTAGTATATACACACAGACAGTTTGATGATGTCTTATCTTAATTGCGAATCTATCGCATGTTAATTTTAGCAAGCAACTGCTATTTGGGGTGAACATACCTGGTCCATCTTATAATATTTATTGGTTAATTGCTAAATGGTAATCCTTTTGCAACTATAGCGCATTAAATTTTTCTAGCTACTTTGACCTGTAAAAAATATATTCATTACCTAGGTAGTTTCAACTTTCAAACAGTCTTACTTATGTATCGTTACAACTTAAATTATGCCTTCTTATGTGTTTTCTATTATGAATATCTAGAATGATACTTCTCTTCAATTTCAGTTATCAAGTTGTAGAAAGTATGAGGTTGGGAATGGAACCCAAAATTGCTGCCAGAGATGCAATAGCACGAATAGCAAGAAAATTTCCAGATTTTTTGGGAGCCATTGTTGCCCTCAATAAAAAGGGGCAGCATGCTGGCGCCTGCCATGGTTGGACATTTAAATACTCAGTTAGGAGCCCTGCAATGAAAGATGTTGAAGTTTTTACTGTGCTACCCTGAGACAGAAACTAATCAAGAAATGAATATCTCCCAACAAATGAATTCAAATCAGCATGCTAATTTTGTTGATTGAGGAAAATTGATGGCACGTAAATGTGCTTTGATTGTTATATTGTTCTTGTGTCTAATATTAACTAAGCAATTAACATTGTTTGCAAGTTGTATACAATATCAACAATGTTTGCATGAAGTTTTCAGACTACAGGATTTCAATGTTGTCTGCCTAAGATGTAAGGAAAGTGTCTCACAACACGTTACTGTTATTTTTTGAGAAAAAAAAAAAAGTGCTTAAAATGAATGTGGATGAACATGTCTCCATCGCATAGGAATTTATTCTTAGTTTTCCACCCTATGTACTGATTAAGATGAATCTCTGCAAATGCAAACAGAGTAAATCAATAATAATCATTTTTGCCATAAACTACTTTTTAGGAAAAATGTTTAGGATTTAAAAATCACCTTGATTCTGTCAACATTCGATACTCATGTTTGAACTTGATCTTTCGATCCATGTCACTTGCCAGCCAGCACCTCTTCTGTCAAGAAGGGGTAAAATTCAAGAGTGGAGTAGACTCTTTCCCATTTGAATTACATCTGCCCCCATTTTTTGTGAGTCGAATTTCGGTTCAAGGTACTCTATTTTTTTGTTAGTTTTTTAGTGAAATAGAAAGAAAACCACCTAGATATAGGGGACTTAGAAAGTTCTGACATGCACTTCATCTATACTTGAAAATAACCATATGAACAATGATACTTCAACTGGCTTACTAGCATTCATCTTACTGGCCAAGCCTTATTTTACTACAATTTTTTCAAACTTTTCATCAAGTAAAAAGGTAAAACAAGAAACTAAGCTACTCTTAATTAATATGGATAAGTCAAGATGGACTCATGTTCTACAGTGATTGATTTGTTCCTGTTTAAATCTTGTTCTTTGACATTTTGTCCATCGACTCTAGTTTTCCGATGGATTATTTTCGTTCTCTCCCCAAACATTGCTAATCACTTGGTATAAATAAAATCTAACTTTTCAATCTGAAAACAATTTTATTGCTTCTATGGTTGAGGTAATGACATATAAACAAATGCTTATGCTACATCGGTAGAACATCTGATTGAAAACTTTCTTAAAGTATCATATTTGTATCTCACGTTTATCACTCGTTTCACCCACTATTCTCTTCCAAAACCAATGTTCTTGCCACACTTTCTCCATCTGTTCAAGTGGCACGTTTTTGGTCTCTGGCAGGAAATAGTAAACAAATATAGTCATCACCACCACCCATCCTCCAAAGAAGAAGAAAATCCCAGACCTGAAGTGGCAAAGCATGAATAGAAAAGTCTGAGCAACAATGAAAGTGAAGATAAAGCTCACTGCCACTGTGATGCTTTGCCCTACTGATCTAATTTCCAAAGGAAAAATCTCACTTGGCACTAACCAACCTAGTGGCCCCCATGACCACCCAAACCCAGCAACATATATGCATATCATAACCAAAACCACATAAGCATACCCTTTGCTTAATCCACCATGATCTTTGAGATGAAAGGTCATTATGCCACCAACTATACACTGTGATGCAAACATTTGAATGCCCCCAATCATAAACAAGGTTTTCCTTCCTAGTTTATCAACTATGAACATTGATATGAATGTTGAACCAGTACCTACAACTCCTGTCATCACAGCTGACAACAGCGATGCACTTTCTCCTAACCCGATTGTCCTAAAAAGTAAAGGCGCATAGAAAGCAATGACATTGATCCCTGTCACTTGCTGGAAAAATGGTATTGCTATTGCCATCACAAGCTGGGGCCTATACCTTCTTTTCAAAATGGTCTTAAATGATTGTTTGTTGTTGGTTTTTGAAGAACTTGCTTTTATAAGATCATCAAGTTCTGCTTGCACATCTTCCATGCCTCGAATTCGCTGAAGCAGTAGCTTGGCCTTTTGATGGTCATGGTTGCGTTGGATTAAGCTGCTGGGAGTTTCAGGTAGGAAAAGTGCACCTAGTGTTAGGACTGATGCGGGAAGTGCTGCCATGGCTAGGGACACGCGCCAACCCCAGCCACCTTCAATCTTCTCTGTTCCATAGTTGATTAGGTTAGCAGACAGCGCACCAATGCCAATGCTTAATTGGAAGCCATTGTTAGTTGCTCCTCTTAGTCGTGGTAGTGCCATTTCAGATAGATACAAAGGAACTGCCTACAAAACCAGTACACAATTCGAAAGTAATTAGTGTTTTGTTATCTTGATTTGGCTCCTCTGAAGTAAGCAATGATAGGGTAACTCTTAATCATTGATGAGAAAAAAAAAAAATTGACATTCCAATATATTCATGGTTTAGTATACATTTCCACGTTTCAGATAGCTGATTTTATTGTCAATGACTAAAATTATTTACCTTACTCTTTAAAGTAAATTGTTACAAGTCAAATCCTTATTGTTGAGCAAAAAGACATTGGTAAAAGAACATTAAAAATTAATGATTTTTCTTATAAAATGTTTTTCTTTTTTATTTTCTTAACCAACACTCTTATTGTTAGGAGAAGAGGGGTTTCGTGATGAAAAATATGTTTGAATATGAAATTCTATTCAATACTTGAAATGCCTGTTGTACTATAGAAAAACGAAGGAAATGGTAGGTACCTGGTTTGCAAAACCAACCCCAACTCCAAGCAAAAGTCTACCAACTATGAGCATGTACACATTAAAAGCCGCACCTCCAAGGGCTGTACCAGCAAGGAAAGCGGCGCCGCCGGCCACGATGGATGGCTTCCGGCCAAAGGCTTTTGTGATATAAGAAGCAAAGAAGGAAGTTAAAAGACCAGCAACATAGAGAGAGGATGTAAAAGAGGTCAATAGTTGGCTATCAAATACGCAGTAGTTGTTGGCTTTGACATCTTCTTTCTTAAGGTACACTTTATGGAAGAACTTCTTCAGAAATGGCTCCATTGAGGTCACCCCACCTGTTATTCCAATGTCATAGCCAAAGATGACACCTCCCATGGCAGCCATCATGCAGGACAGCACAACATAAATTGTTATCTTACCATTGTTTTGGCCATTTCCACTTGCTATAGCCAACCCAACAACAGCCATTATTAGCCTTTTTTTTTTCTGTGCTTACACAGGTCAGGTTAGAGATATTGATTGAGGTTGCATATATGGTTCTTGATAATTGAGAAACAAAACAAGTATTGCTTCTTGACTTTTGTAGTCAAGCATACTTCAGTACAGTACAACGGTTTGAATTTTCAACATAACTGTCACTACTGAAATTGGGTTAGATTTGATCTTAGGATAAAAAAAAGAGCTTCCTTTCTTATTTTTCTCTTCTCAAAATACTTAGAAGTTTAAAATAAAACTTGCTACCTGGGAAAGTCAAAATTGCTTACTTACATTGCCTCTATGATTGGAGAAGATCAATCGTTTTATATGTGTTGTGACATTGATGTGTCTCTAAGGTCAAAATCAACCACATAAATGGTGATTGTGGGGAAGTGGACCAATAGTTCCTGTGAGTGAGTTGGCACATATTGACAAGCTTAGAGGATTCTTATTTGTGCTTAGGAACATTGCACATGATGCTGAATTTCCATAACCTTGACTGAAAATATCTCTTCTGTTCAAATATAGCGGCCACCAATTCTTATATGAACATAAACTTTTAATCACTAATCAGTATGTTATTTTACAAAAACTATTTTAAAAAATGGTTTATATATTAATGGAACCAAAGTAAATTTGAAACTTATTTGTATTATGCATTAGTCGATTTAGTGAAGTCAAGGCATATATATATATATATATATATATATATATATATATATATATATATATATATATATATATATATTGCTCAAAATAATAATATTTGGCAATTAAATTATATTAGGTAATTAATGATACTTTTTGTGACAAACTTTCTTAAAGAAAAAAAAATCAGTTATTATTCTTTGTATTAATTTTTTAGTGTTTTCAACAAATAACTTGTCAATTTAAAATAGAAGAAATCTAACATTTGATTTTCAACAGATAACTAATTCATTTAATCCATCTAATAGTAATGTTGACTTTAGATAGAATTAAAAAAAATTAGTCATAAAAATATTTTTTAACAATAAAATCCTACTACTAATAATATTTTATAAGAATACATACAATAACAATGATTATTATTTTCTTATTATTATAATGTACATGCAGAACTAGCATAATTATAATACTAAATCATAGTGATATAAAAACGATGACTACGACCAGAGGTAAATATTATTCTGAGATATATTCTTTAGAAATTTTTAAATTTTAGATTAAATTTAAAAATTAATTTATATAAGATTTGATTCAATCTAATTTGGATAACCCAAATTGATTAAGGACTATTTTAATCCATAAATATACTCTCTACTTTTTATTTTGAAGTGTGTGAATATTTTTTAAATGATTATGTTTTACTGTTCTTCTCCATCATTCCAAATTGGAGCAAGTAAAGTTGGTAAGCAAATTAAAAGAAGTTGAAAAGTATTTGAAAACTTGTGCAGTGATATATATAAAAGCATTAACTTTGTACATCAACTCTTTTCTCCCACAATTCTTTTCCAAAAAATATGTTCTCTCCAAACCCTATCCATTTGCTCAATTGGCACATTCCTGGTCTCAGGTAACAGCAAGTATACAAACACTGTCATCACCACCACGCACCCCCCAAAGAAGAAGAATGTGCCAGACTTGAAATGGCACAGCATGCTTAGAAAAGTTTGAGCAACTATGAAGGTAAAGAGAAAATTCACAGCAACAGAGATACTTTGTGCTGCTGATCTAATCTCCAGTTGGAAAATCTCACTAGGAATCAACCATCCTAGTGGTCCCCATGACCATGCAAATCCTGCAACATATATGCATATCAAGCCTAGAATCAAATATGCATATATTTTGCTTATTTCACCATGGTCACCAAGTTGAGTTGCCATGATGCTCCCTACAATAACTTGTGACAAGAACATCTGGATGCCCCCAGATATGAACAAAACTCTTCTCCCAAGTTTATCAACCATGAGCATTGAGATGAATGTTGAAGTAGTGCCTACAACCCCAGCTACAATTGCTGACAGAAGAAGTGAAGCACTTTCTCCTAGTCCAATGGTTAGGAAGAGGATTGGAGCATAAAAGGAAATGACATTGATTCCTGTGAATTGTTGGAAGAAGGGTATGGCTATTGCCATGACAAGTTGAGGCCTATACTTTCTATGCAAGATGTTCTTAAAGGGGTGTTTGATGGAGTTTGAAACGTTACTTGCTTCAACGAGGTCTTCAAGTTCTTGTTGGACATCATTGGTGCCACGGATACGTTGCAGCATTAGCTTAGCCTTGTGATGGTCCTTGCTGCGTTGGATTATGCTGTTGGGTGTTTCTGGGAGGAAAAGTGACCCCAAAGTGAGCATTGAGGCTGGAACTGCTGCCATAACTAAAGAAATACGCCAACCCCAACCACCTTTGATCTTTTCTGTGGCAAAGTTTATGAGATTAGCTGATAGAACACCGATGGCAACACAAAGCTGGAAGCCAGTGTTGATTGCTCCTCTGTATCTTGGAGGTGCCAATTCAGAGAGATATAAAGGGATTGACTGCAAAGCAATGAAATTTTACTTCCATATAAGATTATAGTGAAGGTTCTTAAATGCAGTCACAGTCTTGAGTTCATTACCATTCTTGATGTCACAGAAAATTGCAGACAAATGTGGCCATATAGACCTCAATATCCTTAACATATTTCTTAATAATTAGAAATACATAATAGGAATTAGTAAACATTCCTTACCCAAATACCTTATAAATCTGGCAAGTGAGAAAATTATTCCATGAATCCAATTAAGGTTGTAAGGAAAATGTTACCTGATTGGCAAAACCAATCCCAACTCCAAGCATAACTCGACCAAGAATAAGCATGTATATGTTGAGAGCTGCACCACCAAGAGCTGCTCCAATGAGGAATGCAGCACCACCTATGAGGATTGATGGTTTGCGACCAAAGGCTCTTGTGACTGATGAGGCAAACAAGGATGCTATGAGGCCTGCTATGTACAGTGATGAAGTGAATGTTGTTAGGAGCTGGCTATCAAACTTGCAGTAGTTGCTAATATTGGTGTCTTGCTTCATCTTGATGTGTACTTCTGGAAAAAATTTCTCCAGAAAAGGCACCATAGATGTTACTCCACCTGCACTTCTAGCAAATTAGTGAAGTTGATCAAAGTATCTGAATCACTCATCAAAATGAAGAAGAAAACTTGCAACATGAATACTAAGAAATGAAGTTATATATTCATGCCTGAAATTCCTATATCATAACCAAAGATAATGCCTCCAGTGGCAGCCATCATACAAGACAGAATCACAAAACAAGTGATCTTCCCATTGTAAACTCTTTCCTCCTTTGCAATTGGTAACTCCACTGCCATAGTTGTTCCTACAACTTCAGTTTGTTTCTTCTTTAGATTTGAAATCAACTTATACATATAGTGCTGGAATTGTCATACACACACACACACACACACACACACACACACACACATATATATATATATATATATATATATATTGTGAGTCAACTCTAGTTTAGCTGAGGACTTAAAACACAGTGCAGCCTTTCTTGACCAATCGTATATACATCAATAACATTAAAATTTTTTATCATTTTGGATAATCTATTTTAAATAAATACTTAGAAAAAAAATTGAGTGAACTAAGTTTCTCTCGCAAGATAAAATTGGTTTTTAAAGAAATTGAACTAAAAAACTTCATAAAATAATTTACTCTACAAATTAATGTTAATTTGTAAAAAAAAAAAATACTTGTTTTACGTTCACTTGTTTCAATGCTGCAATTTTTTTTTAATATAATTACATTTCAAGTTGTATTAACACTTTCTAACTTGGGAACATTCAATGAAAATGCTTATATAAAATAACTTTAAAAAAATTTATTCAATTTTCTATTTTTTATAAATATTTACTCAAAAGTTTATGTAAAGAAAGTCATTGTGATTACTATTGAGTCAATGCTGCCACTAATTTTGAATGTCACTTTCTTTGATCTCTCTGCAAACGTGCGTAGAATGTTGAACTAACTGCGTACACACGTGTGGGTATCTCTATTACACAATTGTTACATTCTTAAACCTTTCAGCAACCCAGAAAAAAAAAATCATGACTATCAATTAAGTAGAAATGGAATGTTACATTTATTATAGTTTGGTAATTAATTAATTCTTACGTTAATGCATAATTATTATTTATTTACAGTCAAAATATGAATAGTTTGATTGACATACACTTTATATTTGTTCCATTTTTACTCATAAAAAAAATCAAATTAGTCATATTTGATTAAATAATTAGGTTAACTAATCATCGATTAATCAATGCATTATGAAAAAAATAATATTACTACAATGCTAGAGATCAATATTTACACGAAATATCTTGAAAATCTTGTTAAGATTTATACACTATAAGAAAATCGCGTATTATCGACGGATATTTACCAACGGATTTGTATCCGTCGGAAAATAATTATTACTGACGGAAATTACCGACGAATATAAAATATTTGTGAAATTTGATCTTACCGACGGATATATCCGTCAGTAAAATAATAATTAGTTACCGACGGATATATCCGTCGATAAATCCGTCGGTAATTGACAGATGAATTTACCAGACGGATATATCCGTTCGTAAATCCGATCGATAAATTAATAATTAATTACCGACGGATATATCCGTTCGGTAAATTTATCTGTAAATTACCGATGGATATTTCCGTCGATAAATTATCAATTAGTAAATATTCAACTAATTAAAAAATTAAATATTTTTTATTTAATAATTTCATTTAATCATAATTAGATTAATTTATAATAATTTCTTAAATTAAATAATTTTAAAAAATAAATATTTAATTATATATAAATATATAAAAACATATAAAAATATTTAATTGTATATAAATATATATATATATATAAATATATATATATATATACATATATATATAAATATATAAAATATAAATATATAAAAATATAAATATATAAAAATATAAAAATATAAAAAATATAAATATATAAATATATAAATATATAAATATATAAATATATAAATATATAAATATATAAATATATAAATATATAAATATATAAATATATAAATATATAAATATATAAATATATAAATATATAAATATATAAATATATAAATATAATTTATTTGTAAATTATTATCGAAAAATTCTGGTAGTTTAGTGATTGGAGTATCGGTCTCTAACTCTAAGGTCCTGGTTCGAATCCTGCCAATGACAATTATTAATAAATAATAAAAATATTACCGACGGATTTTGACCGTCGTTAATATCAAAATTTCTTGTAATGATATTATTAATTGACGTTTTCATAATATTTTTATTTTATTTATTTGACGTAGATTTCTTTTATCTTTAGACATACATTTATAGCATGTCGTTATTATTTTATAAAACCAATATAGTATTAATTATTTTTAAATCACTAAATAATATTCAGCTGACTCGAATCTAAGACTTTTTATAAAAATATTTTTGTTAAAAGAAAGTTATTATCAAGACAATTCGCGTAAGTAATTACTTTTTAATTGAAAATGTTATTTCAAAAGATAAATTATAGAACTTTTGAAGTCTCTCATTATGATGATAATGGTGCATTCATCACCCCTTGAAATACACATTTTAATCTTTCACCTTCTTGCATTATTGTAGCACACACTAGCTAGTTCATCCAAAAACTGCAGTTGCAGGGGTGGGAGGGTGAAGAAGAAAGATGTCAAGAACTTGATGAATGGATACATAATTGTAATCAGGATACAGCAATGAAGCTTCAAGCTCATCTTCTCCAATGTCAAAGCTCACCATGTCCCCTCTCACAAACACACTATGAATTATGGAAAGTGGAATATTGTGGGGGGAAGGTAAACCTGCAAGATAAAACTGGAGTTTAAAAACAAAAATATATTTTAACCATAAATACAAAATAAATTCTCTTACTCTCTGAGAGTTTAACAATTTCTTCCTCAGGAATAAAAGTCTTGGTAAAAGTTTGACCACATTTTTGCTCCCATGATGATATCAACTCATTTTGTGATATGATATTCTTGGAAGGTTGACAGAAAACCACACGATTGCATGTTCTTGGATCATTTGCTGCTTTAACAGTGTACATAGCCACGTCTTCCTCATAATTCAGTACAGCTGAACACAAACTATATATCATATTTCTCATCATAACTTGGAATTTTCAATATTAAATATCTTAAAACTTTGATACCTTTGGCTTCACCATTGCCATAGACAACAATGTCCTTCACTTTCTCATGTGGTCGAAGCAAATAGTTGATGAAATATGCAGCACAACAATTTGCCAAGATACAAGTGTAAGGGATTCCAGCTGCTTCAATGTTCATTCGGATTTTTCTTTTCTCATCAAGCACAGCTTGGAATGGAGGAAGAGGATTTATTCTATCTTCTTCTGCACCAAAACCTGTTGGAATGAATCTCTACAACACCAATATTTAAGATTCATTCATGCATTTCTCACGTACTATTAAAAATACACTTAAAAAAAAATATTAGTGAAAATGTACTTAACACACCTTTATGTTCCCAGCAACTTTGATAGCATCTATGATTTTGAGTTGCTCCATGAGTTGAGGGTATGGAAGAGCACAGATCACAATGTCTACTTGTTTAACCACTGCCAGAATCTGGTCATATTCAAGTTCACCCTGCACCACCACTTCATACTCATTAGGAAAATGAAGAAACTGCATAATCTATTATGAAGAGAAACAGTGAACAAACTGCATACACAGAACCTGAACAAGAGTGACTCCCATGGAGTTGAAGTCCCTGCAAAGTTGTGTCTTGGAGGAGGCAGTGTGTGAATTGAGAGGACGAGTGTAGACCAGAGTTGGATGACCCAAAGACACACTTGCCTTCACCAAATACTTGCCTATGTAGCCAGTTCCTCCAAATACTAAAATCCTGTTCTTTCTCTCCATTTTTACTTTCTCTCTTCTCTTCTCTTCCAAATCAATGCTGAACTTCACCCTTTAAATACTTCCACACTTTCTATCCCATGCCATTTCTACCCACCAATCACTTCATGTGAATCAAGAACAAATCCAAACAAGTGGTTCCAGTTGCGTTACAGGATATTATCTTTAGGTAGAATTATTAATTTTGCCATTTACTTTTATAATTAAGTACGAGATATCATGATTTAGGAGTAATTTGTTTTTTTTTTTTTATTTAAAATAAAGTACGAGATATAAACAAACAATCTTTTAAAATATTATTTAATAAAGGAGTCCCGTTTTAATATACTTTTTTTTTTCAGTTTTTAGAAAAATAATATAAACTGTATAAAAATTAGCTTTAGTTATTTTTTAAATTATTCTACGATACTCATATGTAATTATATTTTTTCTTTTCAAATTATTTTTATTAATTTAAAAAATAAAAAAAGGTACGATCCGTCAAAAAGATAGTTGTTGAAAGAGTGGGTAATTACATATTTATCCAAAATAATTTGACAACAATCTCGACATGACATGATGTACATGTTGTTGTCACATTTTTAGGTTATTTATATTTTTAATAATATATATAATTATTTATATTTTAATAATATAAATAAGTTATATTATATATTACTAATGATTTTTTTATATTATTATTATTTTTCTATATTAATGATATTTCTAGTGTGTGCACATTTACCAAAACTTTCAACGTGTCTAATTCAAAAGAAAGAAGGAACATTTCAACGTTGGTATTAATTATAGCCAAAGAAAATAACATTTCATGTCATATTCTAATGGTTAGATTTTGAAACTTGTACGCTACCCACAAATTTACGAATGCTACAGGGTCTGAAATGAAATTAATATGTAATTAACATGTTTTAATTTATCTAACCTCCCTCTCTCTCTCATCTCTATATATATTTTATATATAAGAATTATTTTTTTTATTTTTTTTTTACTTGTGAATAATCATTTAATAAGTCTTTCTTATAAAGATGAGAATGTCCTAGATAATAGTATTATTATTACGTTTGAAGAATTATTTACTTTGAAATTTTAGTTTATTATAATTTTATTTTAAAAAATATCTTAGTGATTGAGAGAGAAAAAAAATACAAATTATTGTTTTAATGGTTAAATGATACAAGACTTATGTACTAGAATAATAAAAAAATTTATAAAAGATAAATTATACTTTTTAATGTTTACTTTATGAAATAATTTTTATAAATATTTTATCTAATTTTTAAATATAATTTATTTTATTATTATAAAATAAAATTTTATCTCTATAAATATTATAATATGTAATTTATTAAACATATCTAAAAAATATATATCATGTCACGTATATTTAGAGACGAAAACAAGAGGAATATGTACCCATACTCCAAACCATTTATTAGAATATAGTCCGTAACATATTTTTATATATTCAATTTTTTTTAATAACGTTAGCAATTCTTTTCTTCTTTCGTGTTAGTTAGTTTCTTGTACAACTGACATACTCGTTAGACGGTGTAATGCACGTGTGTATGTATATATATTATAGTATCAATTTCATTCACTCTCCCTATTTCATCTCTTGCATGGCAACGGGACAGGGCAAGTTTTGCTTATCCGATATCTATTTTTTGATTTTTTTTTAACCATTCTCATCCTTATTTCATTTTTTGTGAAATTATAAATTAAGTTTTCATCATAGTAAATTTTTACTGGATTTCGGATTTTCCCGTTTTAATCTATATTATTTTTAAAAATATAATTATATTTATAATAAATTAATTTTATTATATATTTTTTATATATAAATAAATATTTATAATTTTACAATTTATAATTATTATTAATTAAATATATACTTTAATTTATTATATTTATATTAAAATATATATATAAAAGAAATATTTAATTATTTTTTATTTATATATTAAGAAAATATTTATAACATTATTATTATTATTATTATAATACATTGAATTTAAATTTTATAATAATAATAATAATAATAATAATATATTCAAACATTTGATTACATATATAAGTTAATTCATTTTTAAGTTATTATTTAAAAAATATGAAATATATATATAGTTTATAAAAAAATTTAATAAGTTAATTCTTATTTAATTAGTTCAAAGTAATAAAAGTTTAAATTATTAATTCTTTTTAATCCTTTAAATATAATTATTTTATTAAGATAAAATTTGATATATGACAAATAAAAATAATAAGATAAAAAAATATGACATAATGAAACCTAATAATATAAATTATAAATAAAATAATATTAGTTACTACTAATATTTATGTAAAATATTAAGAAAAAGATAAAGAAAAAAAACTTTGTGTTCATCAAATTAGTTGAAAAGATTGAAAAATAAAAGACAAATTGATTAGAGAGATTAAAGAAATGTGAAAACTTGAAAGGTAAGAGAGGGAATAATGTAATAAACTAATTGATATAAAATATTAAAAAAGAAAAAAATTAAAAATTGAGTAGAAGAAAAGTAAAAATGGTAAAATATAAAAAAATAACCTTATATGTAATAGAAAAAGAAAATAAAATACTTTTAAAATATTAATATTTTAAAATATAAAGTTTGAATATAAGAATCGGGGTTGGGGTGGGGATTGCATTACCTATCCCGCCCCCCTTCCAACTTTTTAAAGCGATGAAAAACCGAACCCGCTCCCGCCCCCAGTCAACTCGATTTTTTCCCGTCAAACTCGGGGCGGAGACGAGTCGTTCCCCACGAGTACGAGTTTAGTTGTCATCCTTACTTTCGATTTTGCAAATTTTGTTCTCGTGTCAAATTTTTTCAATGGCAAAAGTCATGTCACAACACTCCAATTATCTTTCTTTGCATCCAAAGAGTTTGTATTTTCTTCGTCCTAGAGAAAATCTAGGAGCAATTCTTGTTTTTCCACCTTTGAATAATAATAACTACTATTCATGGAGCAAAGAGATGTGGCGTGCATTACTTTCAAAAAACAAATTGAAATTTGTGAGTGGAGCGACCAAATGCCTTAAGAAGATGATCCTTTATATGCAATGTCAAGGTAATATCTTAGATTACCAAAACTTTATCTCCTGAAATTGCAGAAGTACTATATATATATATATAGAAAATGTTGAAGATCTCTGGACGATTTGAAGGATCAGTGCTCAAAATAAGATCATATTAGGTTGTCGAATATGTTGCAAGAGATACACTATATGTGGGAAGAAGAACAAAATGTTTCAGGTTATTTCATAGGTCAAGATCCTGTGGGAATATCTTGAATCCTTAAGACCTCTTCCATCGTGTAGATGCAATAACATGTGTTATTGTCACATAGTTGATCTAATAAGAAAGTAAAGAGAAGCCAAATATGTGGTTTGTTTTCTGAAGGGTCTTAATGATTAATATAACACTATGAGAACTCAAATCTTTCTTATGAAGCCTTTGCCTTCCATAACCAAGGTTTTCTCACTTGTGCTTCAACAAGAAAAGCCAACGGATGACAACATTCTAGGAGATCCAAAGTTGTTGTTCAATATTAATAATATCAATGCTTCTTTCAATTGCACAAATAATCAATCTTATGCCCAATCTGGAAGAGACCGTGAAAGAGGTAGAAACTCTAACAATAATGGAAGTGAAAATAATAACTCGAAAATGTACACATTCTCCTGGAGAACAAGACACACAATGGAAACCTGTTATTTTAAACATGGTTTTTCACTAAACTACAAATTCTGAAATGGTGGTTGTTTCGTAGTGAATAACATGTCAACAAATTCAGAAATTGCAATCAATGTTACGAATGATCTCACCAAGAGTGAGTCACCAGGAGAAGGAATTATCATCACTCCTGAAATCTATCAAAAGCTAATGCACATAATTCAAAAGTTAGAAACTCCTTTATCAGGAGTTGCAATCGGCCAAGTCAACACAATTTCTATAAATCAAAATTCTGTTGAATCAAGTATTCAACCCCATACAACCATTGTTTGGATCCTTGATAGTGGTACAAAAAATTATGTATGGTATTCTTTGTCTTGTTTCAATTCTTTTCAAAAAAATCCCTCTCATTCAGGTAAAACTCCCAAATGGTACGCTCACGTCTACTTATGTATGTGACACCATCGTCTTTTCTGATTCTTTCATTCTATATGATGTTCTTTTAATATCTGATTTTCGTTTTAACCTTGTTTTCGTCACAAAACTGACAACATCTCTTACCTACAAATTGACTTTCTCTTTTACATCATATGTCATTTTGGACCTTTCTTCATCAAGGATGATTAAAGTTGCTCACAAACTTTATGTGTTCGATGATCCTATTGTGCAACTTACACCACACTTTTTCAATTTTGTTTGTATCAATAAGCCGCATGACATGTTTGACTTATGACATTTTAGGCTAGGACATCCTTCTCACACTGTCTTACAAAAATTTATATCTCATTTTCCATATGTTACTTTCAAATCCAATAAATTTTGTGACTATTGTCATTTTGCTAACAATCACATGCACATTTTCCTAACAATGTCCATAAGTCTTCCACTACCTTTGATTTAGTCCATATGGATATTTGGGGACCCATTTCTATCCTCTCAATTCATGGACATCATTACTTCTTCTTTTCCTGCCCACCAACGCCTCTTGAAAAAGTCTCTATCATATTACCACCAAGTAAAAACAAACAACATAAAATTCTCCCATAGCCAACCCCCATTCTTTTCCTGTGCACC